AAAATGTCATTATGATGAGAGAATGGATTTTTCATTTTGCTAAATTTTTTTGAAAATAGAAATAAGCAAAGTGATCCATTTCTGAGCTCTGGTTTTTATTAATGACCAAAAATTTATGGAATTTTCCATTTAAAGTTTTTTTTATCCTTGTTTTTTATCTTATTAAAAATTTTGTAAGTCACACTATAATTTCCAATTAAAATATTTTGAATAATTGAATAACATTTAACGTGGATTCAAAATTTTCATCTTCCCAAAATTTTTAAATTCATCTGTTTTTCATTTTTTTATTATCAAAATTTTAAAAAAAGTAATTCCAATTTTAAAATTTAAATTTGTTTTTAATAATAAAAGTATAATTAGGATTAATAAATTTGAAACAACACAAATTAAATTTTTTCATTTTTCAATTTTAATTGTTTTTTTTTTCGAGGATTTTAATTTAAAATTTTTCTAATTTTAATGAAATGAAAAGTTTTAAAAAAATTAATTTAAATGTTACATTAATAATTTCTTCATTAAAAATGCAACATTAAATCCTTTTCATTCAAATCATGAGCTACATTAATTCAATTTTTCATTAAAATATCAAAAAAAAAAAAAAAAAAAAAAAAAAATTAAAAAATAAATTTCATTGAATTCATATTTGCATTAATTCCTTTTCAAAAAATAAAAAAGTTTACATTTAAAAAATTTCTTTTCAAAAATAAATTTAAAGAAATTTTTTTTTTATAAAAAAAAACATTTTTAAATACTTTTCATTAAAATGTAATACAAAATTTTTTTTCATTATATTTTATAATTGAATTAAAATAAATGGGTTTAATAAATTTTTAAATACTCATGTTTACTGTATTGATGGCAATTGTTATGATTGAATAATAAAAAATGAATTTTTTTATTTTTATAGAATCCGTTTTTATCCTGACAAATGCGATTTTACTTTAAAAACAAATAATGGTTGAAAAATTTTAGAAAAATAAAAATAATTTAAAAGTTCATGCAATTCTTTAGTAGATTAAAAAGACTTTTAATAAATAATAATATGGATTTATTTAATAAAAATGAATTTAAATAATAAAATAATTATCCATGAAATATTCAGTTAGCAATGATCTTCATTTTAAAAGTAAAATAAAATCTTCTAAATGCAATCAAATATACAAAAAAAAAAAAAAAAAAAAAAAAACCAATTATTTATGTTAAAATACAAATTTAAATATTCAAAATGCAATCAAAAATGTTAAATACAAAATTCTTTAAAACAGTAAAATGCAAAATATGTTAAAAACAATAAAAGATTAATGTTTAAAATGCAAAAAAAATTTTGTTTAATACTGTATATAAATATTCTAAAAGGATGTTAAAGTAAAATCAAAAAATTTAAAATCAAAATACAATGAAATAAAATGTCAAAATGCAATCAAAAAGATGTTCGGATTTTATATACTGTTCTTTCTTTTTATTTATTACATATATATATATATATATATATATATAAAAGTTTAAAGACAAAGGTTTTAAATTCTATTTTTAATACAATCAAAAAAAATATTTTAAAAAAAAAATATGAAAAAAAAAAACAAATTAAAAATTTCAAAATAAATTTTGTAATGCAAGGAATACAATCAAAAGAATATTTGAAAATAAAATTAAAATATGTAAAAATACAATAAAAAATATATTTAAAACAGATGAAAAAAAAAATTTATCCTAAATACACAAAACTTGATGTTTTGTAATAAAATCAAAATAAATCAAAATACATTAAAAGAATATGTCAAAATTCATTCAAAATATTTTTCCAATAAAATAGAAAAGGATGTTTCAGTAAAATTAAAATATGTCAAAAATTCAATAAGACTGCAATGAAAATATTCATTCAAAAAGATGTTTTCAATAAAATGAAATAAGAGATGTTCTTTTAAAATTAAAATATATCAAAAGATTTAAAAAGATTTCAAAATGAAAATCAAAAATATATTTATTACAATCAAAGGATGTTTATAAAATCAAAAAAATGTCAAATTACAATCAGAAATAAATTTTATGTCAAAATGCAATCAAAAGATGTTGATAGACAACCAAATGAGTTTTTTTGATTGAATGATTAAAAAAGTTGGGGGTTAATAATTTTAATTGACATTGATTTTTTTTTATGTAAAGGATGTTTAGTTAATAAAAAAATAGCAAAAAATTTCAATAAAATATTCAAAAAATGTTCTGTATCAATGCACCAATAAAATTTTTTTTACAATACTGAAACTAATGAATAAATTAATAATATCAACAAAAAAAATAAAGTTTACAATCAAATGATGAGAATATTTTCATTGAATATCACCAATCAAAAACAGAAATAAGTAAAAAGACATGAAATTCTGCTTGAATTTATACTAAAAGATAAAAAGATTAAACCATACAACCAAAATAGAACAAATTGTTTTACAAACAATTAAAAAAAAAATTGTGAAAAATATAAATGAAATAATCGTTTATAAAAAAAAAAATATCATCAAATTCATTGTTGTAATACAATTTGGATATCAGGAAAGATCAAATTTTTTATATGAAAAATACAATCAAAACATTCTTTTAATACATTAAATGAATATTGAAAAAAACAATTAAAATATTTCAGAAATTACAATTAAAGATATTTAAAATGGAATCAAAATGAATAAATGTTAAGATAAAAAAAAATAACCTGAAATTATTTCATCAACCCAATTTGTCAATGTAAAATAATGTAGTTTCAAAAAAAAAAAAAAATGAGAATACAATTAAAACATTTCAAAAAATAAAATATTCAGTAAACAAAAAGAAAAGAATTAAAAAAAATTTACATTAAAGTAACTAAAAAAAATATGTTACTTTTTTGCAATGATTTACGATTTCTGAAATTAACAATATTTAAGAAATACGAATACAATTTTAGATGTCAAAATATTGACAATATGTCATAATACAAACAAAATATTTGATTTGAATGCAAAATAGAAAAAAAGTTTAACATAATAAAATGGAAAAATATGTTAAATTCAATAAATATTCAAACCAATTTCCCCAGACCAAAACAAAAAAAGATTTAACATTACAAGAAAAAGTAAAAATGTTCAATTCAAAACATATGTCAATTTATGCAGTATTTAAAATGATATTTCTTTTATAATCAAATATGTCTTGTCACATTCAAAATCATGAAAAATCTTTTCAAAATATTTTGCAATTTTTCTCAAAATATTTTGTATTATCAATAAAGTCAAAACGGAAAAATATTCATTTTTACACCTATTGTCCCCTCCTAGGGAATAATAAAAATATATTTTTTTCTTTAAAAGAGATAAGAAATATCATTGGTGATAAAAGATTATCTTTCAATTTATACTATTTACATTATTTGGACTATTGTCCTCATCTTTGTCGCCATATTTATTACGTTTTTGCTGTTGTACGCTCCGGCCTTCTTCATGTAGTTGGAATGTCGAACTTTACTGGGGTAGACTGTTCTAGTTCCACATGCCATGTTTTTTTAATGGATGTTAGTTATATCCTGTTAATTCCCCTCTCCAAGCTCTCCACTGCCTTAACCAAGTATTGAACTCACACTTTGGGTCCTGTCACTGCATCTAACACCTTTATCCACTGTGCCACGTGTCCTTGAGGACATCTGCGAATGAATTTCTTGGTATTATAAACGTAATGTCATCAGCAAACATTTTTTTTTGCCAGTGTTCATATTTCAATTTTTTGTGTTATCAAAACATGTTTTTACCAGGTCTCATATTGCAATTTTTGTTATCACTTTTCTCTGGCACTCCTTATTACTGGTTCCTGTATTGTATTAATTTCTATGCTTGGTCGGCTCAGGAGATTTTTGTGGCCTAGCATATGTGCTGATTCCTTAAGTTTATGAATTTTCCAATGATGTTCTTTGTCTATGATTTCAACCTAATCCCACAGAAGGCAGTGATCTCTCTTTTCTCTCCATATGTAATCAGCCACGTCTGATTTTTCCACTTCCCCTCATGTTACAACTTTCTGGTGCTCTTGAAGCCTTACCTTAAGAGAGCGGCCTGTCTTCCCTTTATATTTCTTTCCACAGCTGCACAGGATAGTGTACACACAGTCTTTAGTCATGTTCTCCTCTGGAGGGGGAGTGGTCTTACTCAGGAGAGATATCTGAAGTGTAGTCCAGCTTTTGAAGATTGTCCTGATGTTATATGGACCACAGATCCTTTGTATTTTCTCTGATAACCCTTTCACATAAGGCAGGCAGACTGTTTTCCAAGCGTTGTTGTCCTCCTCTTGTACCCGCCTATCCTGGTTTTTTGGGGCTTCTGCCATGTACTCAGGGTAGTTGTTATGTTGTAGGGTACTACATATACTGATCAACTCTTTATCTAATGTCTCTGGGTCGCCACTAATGACTTTTCCTCGGTGTTGTAAGCTGGACAACAAACAAAGGGTTCAGTTCGACATTCCAACCACCTGAAGAAGGCCAGAGTTGCAACAGCCGAAACATTGTAATAAATATGGCGAGACAGATGAGAACAATAGTCTGAATAATGTAAAGAGTGTACATAATACCTCATCTCAGAAATATAGACAGTTTCTTTCAATTACTTTAAAATAAGTCAACTGCTCATTCTATTCTTGTGCAGTAACAGAATCAAACAAAACACAGAAGACCCCCCACCCCCAATCCCTCAGATTGCTTTGATGAGTTGTTGAAAGTTGCTCTGAATCTAGATGTGATTTTTTTCCTTTGCATTCAACTAATTTTTTTTTGTGTCTGTGCCAATAATTAACTTTCAAAAAAAGACTGCTTTTGTAAGTACATATCAAGTATGTTTTGTACATACTTGATATGTACAAAACAAATAAAGTATGTTCTCTTGCTCCTGAATTTGTTCCAAAGACATTAACAAATGTTAAAAAATATAAATCCATCTGATATAAAAAAAATAAATAAAAAAATTGCACAGGACTTGACTCACCTAAATAACAAGAACAGAATAAGATATGTGTTAAAAAACCACATGAATTGAGAGTGACTTGAAGGCATTCCATAAGCACCATGTGGAGTTTGAGCTGAAAGAAACAAAAAAGAAACTTGAAAGAAAAAATAAATAAATAAAATAAAGGCCAACAGTATAATACTTAATATACACAGATCATTTGATAGTGAAAATTAAAAAGTAAATGATTTATGATCATTTAAAAAGAAAAGCAACAAATAACGAAAGAACAAGCATATGAATGAAAAGTGCCAAAAATAGTTTCACTAGTTTCAATTAAGAGAAGAAAAATGTAAAGACATTCAAATATTATTGAGAAATGGATAAGAACTAGACAATAGCCCTCTAGACAGAACTTGGCAATGGGGATAGTATATCAAGAAGCCTTAGAATCTATCAGCAATGATGTATCTACAAATAAACATGTATATTAAATGTAGCAATGTAAACATTTACTTGGTGAGGGTGCTGGCCGGCTGTCCTTAATAATATGTTTGAGGATGGTATTAACAAGTTCATTCAGCAAAATTCCTAGGAAATAGGATACCTGGAAAAAAAAAAAAAAAAAAACACAAAATAACTGAGGCTTCTTGGAATTTGACACTGAAGATAAACATGGAATTAAATAGAGACTTGATATTGGTGATAAGATTACAAAATAAATATGTGAAACAAATAAAAGCATTTCTCTATTGGTTAATTGAAGTATATATTTAAAGAAAAAAACAATATGAATAATAAATGTATCAAAAAAAAAAAAAAAAAAAAAAAAAAAAGAACTGAATTTATTTATATAAAATGCAAAATTTCAAAAAAGTAAGTAATTTAATGAATTTTAGTTTAGTTTCAATTTTTTCTAAGAACAATCAATAAAACAGAAATAAAAGAAATTAAGTTTCCATTGTAGAAGCAAATACAATGTTTTTCTTTACATTTCTTAAAAACAAAAAGTAGAAAATGGAATTAAAAATAAATCATTGGCCAAAAAATCATTTGACAAAATAGAATCAGATGAAAAAATAAAAAATGAAAGCAATCTTGAAACACTTACAAGGAAAATGTTTTAATAATTATAAACATTTGTATTATAATAACTCCTTAGATCATATATTAGGAGTTAGCAATAATTACATCATGGCTAAGGGTGTCTTTTTACTGGTTATAACATTTACAAAATGGAAAGTAATATTTTTACCACCATGCCCAAGGGTTCATGAATATCAAAAGTTAATATTAAATTTAATGGCAACATCATTTGGTACTTACTGTATGAAGATCTCTACGAATGATGATGAGTGTTAGGAAACCTATAGAGATGAAAATGGGCATTATACTAAACCAAGCAAGGATGTAGCCAATGAGATCCCCTGAAAAACAAATAGTATTTAATAGTTACCAGTGGAATATAGATTAAAGAGGGTGTGAGTGCAAATGCCCATTTTAAAATCAATGTTAAAGAAAAAATCCTTTCATAGACAATTGCATACCAACTTAGTAGAAACAATTCCATGATCTTACTATTTAGAATTATTTGCTCAGAAAGAAGTTAACTATTGTTTGAAGTTCTTCTTGAACTTCAAAGTGGTTATTAATATATAGAAAACAGTTACTATATTGGAGGTAATCTTCAAGGGAAGTAACTCAATCCTCTTTAGGTGACAATTTAAGCAGTCAGATATGAACAATAGTCAAGACAGGAATTGAATTTTCATACTACAGAAGAAAATTACAGATTACTATTCTTGTTTTTAAAATGATTAGAAAATTTCAGAATTTTAATTTATGTAGATCAAACCAAGTTTACAACAAGAACATTTCTGAAGCATACAAGAAATACAAAAAGTTTGCAAGCACACTTTGCATTAGCAAGCAAGGCAATAAAGCCAATAAGATGCAATAGGTTACCGAGTGTGAAAGAATAGGAGAAAAATAAAAACATTAAGGAGAAAGAGCAATAAAAGAACAGGAATTAAGTTGGAAGATAATTTATAGAAAAGGTACAGAGAAGCTATGTGATGGCAGTGGGGAAAGTGACTGAAGCTAAGATGTCAGGGCCAACACCATTGCAGATTTTTCTTTGGATTTTGTCAAGAATCTCTAGATTCATAGCAGAAACACCAGACAAAATGTGACATCAATATTCAATGCCCGAAAAAAATTGTAGACTTTAAGATGTAAAATAGATTCTGGCAAGAAATATTGTCTCGAACGACACAGCAATTGATTTAATTTGTTCCACTTCAATGAGTCACTCTCTCCTGGAGGTTACAATCGGCCATATTGATAGAAGGTCAAAATGTTAAAAAGTTCTCTAAGATAATTAAGAAAGAGCAGTTTCATTTTGGAAGCATTAGCTAAAATTAACCATTTCTTGTACCAGTGAACAACAAATTGTATGCCATTTTTGGTATCAGCTGCCAATTTGACCTTATCAAACCTATCAGATTTACCATTATGATAGAAGTAAATAGTTGTGTCATCAACATAGATATTGATGATGTCAGGAAGTTAAACTAAAATGGTAACAGGTGAGATTTGAACTTATGACCTTAGAGTAACCCTAAACTGAAAGGAACAAAATTACAATTATGATAAAAAAAAAAAAAAAAAAAAAAAAAAAACCTAAATTTAAAACCTCAAATACATTAAGCAAAAAAGCGTCTACCTGCAAAATTGATTGCATTTCACCTTTTTATTTGTACAGACTAACAGGAATTGGAATTTAGTTTTAAAGAACTTACATGGGGGATGCTGAAAAGATTGATGTAAACAACTAACAAAGAAAAAAAAAAAAAAAAAAAAAAAAAAAAATCAAAACATTAAAGTCCAGCAGATTTTCGGAAAGAAATTATTTTCACTGCATAAAAATGTTAGAAAGAAAATTTAAAAAGTAATTTCAGATATTCCAAAAGCCTGTCAGATGCCTCAACTTTGCATAAAAGACTGTGGAGCTATTTTTAAGCCATTTTTTTTTTTTTTTTTAGAAAAGGAAAAAAAAAAGCTGTCTTATATTCCATTGAATACAGTAATTCCATTCAACAGGAGAGAAATTTAAATAAACCAGATTGATAGAATCTCACAGAATTAAGCCAACATTTTGATAATCTGCTTTGCTCTAAATATAGTCATGAAATCAAAAATGTCCATTACATAAATAAATAAAAATGACAATCATTGCAAGTTTGCAGTCTAAGAATTACTTTAATACTTATCAAAATTATAGTAAGTTTAAAAAAAAAAAAAAAAACATATTTCTGAGGCTTGAATTCAAAATAATTTACATTGTTGACTTAATAACCTTTTGCTTTCTCCATCATTAGTCATAATTATTGAAAACAATTTTCCCCAGTTGGTTTTATTTTTGCTATGAGTCAGAGGTTTCAGAGTCTTTTTTTCTCTAACATCTAACACACAGAAATGTTAAAAAAAAAAAAAAAAAAAAAAATTCAAAGTTATTAACGAAACACATTTAATACTGACATTAAATCTCTAATATTAACCCTTCTAGCATAATGGTTGCTACACGGTGACGATTGGTGTATTTTTTTTCTCAGACATTAAATTGCTAATATTAACCTTTCTAGCATAACAGGCACATTTTCTTCTAAGATCATGAAATTTGCACACCAAATTCTTTCATGCAATTGTTACTTCAAAATATTTTTTGAGACAAAAGGCTTTTCTAGATGCAAAATCAGGAATATTCAGTGATATAAACATTTCTGGATATTATTTCTCCATTGAAAATTTAAAAGAAAAATTGCCTTAAGAATTTAAAAAAAAAAAAAAAAAGGAATTATAATTAATAAGTTCTTAATAAATCATGGAAATATTAAGTTTTATTTCTACAAATTCTGGATAACTCAATACATTGTGTTTATAACTTTACTTTCAATCACTTCACAATACCCCCTCTTTTTTCTTGATTTATACACCTGATAAAGGCAAAAGGATGGGTCAGCTGAAACATTGTTTTTTTTTATCAACATCAAGTATGTGAAGGAAGCCATTGTCCTAGGTAGGACATTTATTTTTATTATGGCTAATTTCACACAGTCCTCATAAAGAAGTCAACATAAAAAAAAAATAATTTTTTTCAAAAATCTCAAACAGAGATTTTACATGAAAATTGCTAACATCTTTCTGACTGAAACTAAAAAAATATAATTACTGATGTTTTTTTAGAAGACGATACCATTAAAAGTACTGCTTTGACAATTAAAATAGTGAATAAAATCTCCATAAAAAAGATACATGATTGTTTGTTTTAGAGGGGATGTTGGATTTGCTTTCAAATCTGACATGGGGAAAAAAAAAAAAAAAAAAAAAAAAAAAAGATTTTCAGTCATTTTTTTCTTGAAGCAAAAACGTGAATTATGCCGCAGCGCCATACCTGACAAGGGCTGAAGAATCGATCAACTGAAACGTACTATTTAACAATATCAAGGAAAATAAAGACTTCAATTATCGAAATATTTGAAAAAGAGAAAATTGTATTACCAAAAGTGAAATTAGAATATATTCTTAATCTTAAAGAATGAAAATCGTTTCGTTATTTTACTGATGAACCAGCAAACTTAAAATTTTGTAGTTATCGACTATACTTTTTTTAGTCAGACACAAGGCCACAGTAATAAAAGTACTGGCTATACTGAAAAAAAAAAAACGACCTGCAGCACAACAAAGTACCTGAATGAATATGTAACTTAGATAAATTATTAATAAATTGACAGTAAGTTAGTTTGTTGGTAAAGTGGTAGGGGGGGGGCAGAAGTTTAGCTTAGTAAGGTATAAGGCACCAATCTCATATGTTGTGTGCTTTGAAAATCAGCAATTTCAAACCCCAGCTTTTTGACTGTTTTTTTCTTTTTTGTTGTTGAACAACGACAACCAACTTAGAGTGCTTAGGAAATACGCAACTATCTGAACCACAAAACTGGCCATTTGTGTTTTCATTAGTTTTCCAACCATTGTCTTTATTTTGTATGTTTAAAAGAAAATCTTTTGTTACTCAAATTATTTGAGTAACGAAAGATTCTTTTAATTTTAAACATAAAAAAAAACCTTGCCGAATACCACATGTATATAATTTGAGTCAAATTATATACATGTGGTATTCGGCCCTTTTTTTCTGTTTTAGACATCAGAACTTTTCTAAGCAACTTTTTTAAGAGACCACGCTCTGCAACATCGAAGGCCGAATCGGACGAAACGTTTAAATATACATTACAAAATTTTATAGTTTTAAAACTTACTACACAGTATCATTTTGTTTCCAAAATAAGACAAGTCACCATCTATATCCGTTCGAACAGAACAAAACAAGTCTTTAAAAAATAATAATAGGATTTAATTTGTACATAATGTTAAAAGAAAAAGAAAAAAAAAAGAAGCATGCCATATGAAGAGAAGAAGAATAACGTGGGGATCCTCTCGTCGTCGTGTCTATTTTACGTCCAGTTACACTTTTCTTTTTTAAACTATAATATCATTTCGATATAAAAGATTTTCAGCTCACTGTAAAAACAAAATAGAAATTTCAAATACAATTTTTCTAACCTTTATTTAAAAATAAGAATAAGCATTTTTTTTATACACACACTTTTAAAAAAAAAGAAAAAAAGTGATCAAAAACTCAAAAAGGTTTTATTTAGAACACATTTTGGATGGATATTCATTTACATTTACTTAAGTTTTGATCAGATTTAGAAATAGGGAGAGATCGATAAGATACAATAAGAATCAATAACTGAAGTGTGTGTCCGAGTGTTGTAGCTAGTGTAGGTAGACGTAAATATTTACATATTTTTAAAGTTCGAATTAAAAATATTTTATTGAAATTCCTTTTTAGAAAATCCAACTACTTCTTTATTAAAAATCCATTTAAAAAATACTAAACTTGCAAGTTAAAATGTTTTAAATTTTAACAAAATGAATTTAATGGGAATCATGTTGTTGGTAAGTAATAAATAAAAAGGGAGAAAAAAACGTATTGACCCTCCCCCATTTGCCGCTGGATTACTTCTGGGTGTAGTCACATTTTTTAAACTCGATATTTTATGGTGCTTTTTCTTTTTTTTTTAAATCTCACATTTGGCAAAATATTAAAAGACTTTTTGGCAGTATTAAAAAAAAAAAAAAAAAAAAAAAAAAATCATGAAGAGGTGGATAATTTTTACTTAAACTACTAACGATATATAACAATTGAATTTGAATATAAAAGTAAATGTTCATCATAGTCACAAAGAGATTCAGACTTAGCCACGTGTAGAGCAGTCAGGCTGACACTAAAAAAGAAAAAGCGATAGGTCTCCATCACATTTGATAGTAAATAAATAAACTAAGACTCAAGGGCCCAACATTCCACTTCAAGTTCCGTATAGATTGGGGGGGATCATTACTGCGATGGAACCCTAGAAAAGTCTATTTTAACAGCAACAAGTGTCTTTTTTTTTTCTCTCCACAAGAATTGTCTAGGTCAGTCTCTCTAGTAATGTTCACTATGCTAAAAAAAAAAATATCAGTGTTTTTTTTAAATCGGTCAATTTTGCAACACCAGTCCTCGGTAGATTAAACAAGAAAACCTATTGAACCTTAATTATAACAAGACAATTTTTGATGCATACTCACATATGTGGGCGTACTTGTTGTTTGTGATAACAACAAACTCAAGAGTCAAATGTTTACAATCATCCCTAAAGGCCACAACGTATGTTCAAAATTTGACTATTTTGTTTAAACATACTTTTTGTGGTCTTTATCTAATTATCATGGCGTTAAAATTCTAGGGGAAATCGTAATTAATTTGATAGCAGACCGATTTAAGAGGTTGGAGCTAAAAAGCAAACAAAAAAATAAGATTAGAAACTAGAAAGGCTACAAAAATAGTTTTTTTAACATTATTTTTTGGATGTAAAACAAAAATAAAAAATGCTGACTTTAGTAAAGAAGAAACCTACATTAGCAAAAAAAAAAAAAAAAACAAACATCGCCCTCGACTGTATCGATTATTTTCTGGGAGATTTAAAAAAAAAAAAAAATCAATCACAATATAAAACCGAAATAGGCGAGTAAATAATTTATATATATTCTCGTCTTTATACTATATACCATAACTCGAATAAACGTATTTATCTGAGAGGGATTTGTTTTTATACACATATTTAAAATTTCCAGCAACACATATGTTTATACGCATCATATACAAGTTGGGTACAAAGTGGGGGATCAATCTACAATGTAATCATTGTAATAACTTGATCACCGACTTCGTAACAACTTAAAGTGTATGTAAATATAACAGCTATACATTGCTACAATAAGGCGACTACTGATCTTAAATAGTAACTGGCGGAATTTCAATGAATGCAATGTGAGAGAGATGTTTTTGTTTGTACCTGCCGGATACTCGACAAAAAGGAGGGACAAAGGTATCCACTGGACATGATTTGGGTCTCCTCCTTCCTCTACGTCCATCTCTCTAATTAGTCAACGAGACTTAAAATCTTTTGACCGCACAAACCTCCTCCTCCATGCTTATATATACTGGTACCTACTGCGCATGCACGAATACCGTACGTATTATATAACAACAATTTTGATTGGTTCATGAATATAAGACGCCACTACGAGGTCTTGTATAATTGTAGTGTGTAATGATAATCTAGCTGGCGAGTTAATAGTGGAAAGTAGTATTTTTTGGGGTTTTTTTAAAAAAAAAAAAAAAAAAACAAAAACAAAAAAAAAAAACAAAAACAACAACACACAAACTGTATTGAATTTATTATTAAAAACAACATAAGTCATGAATTCTGCTGTGAATGAAGCTACCTCGAAGTGTGGTGCTCTTACTTTGAAAATGATAGCAGAATGCTCGACGACGAAGGCTCGTGCTTGCGAGCTGACTCTTCCGCATGCATCTCTATTGACCCCTGTCTTTATGCCTGTAGGCACCCAAGGCACTCTCAAAGGATTGTTACCTGAACAACTGAAGAAACTTGGTTGTAATATAATGTTAGGAAACACCTATCATCTCGGCAACCGGCCGGTAAATTTTGTCTTTGATTTAATAATGGTAGTTTTTAGTGAGAAGCGGCGCAAGTTTGTAGTACACGTGGGTAATCATAGAAAGTAAAGTTATAAAACTTGGTGTTTTGGCTATGCAATTTTTTTGTGGATACATACACATAGGGTAGGCTTTTCAGTTGAAGGTAAACCTGAATATAGTAACTTGCTTGTCTTTTCTCATGGTAAAAATAAGTTTGTTATTAAAGTCAAATTTCCTTTTTTTTTTTTTTTTTTTTTTTTTTTTTTACTTCCATTTAGTTCAAAAACTGAATATTGCCTCGGTCTTAATTTCAATTTGGCAAATTTAAAGTATGATTTTTATTTTAAGTCAAACGATTTGGTAAATTAAAAATATTTCTTTGACTATCGCATTTTTAAAAGTATTCTATTCAGTTGATTTTTTTTTAATTCAAACTTCCAATCTATTGCAATTTTTTAGCTAATATTGATACGAAATTCTATACGAGTTAGCGAAAAACTGGCTGTTTTAGTCTGCAAATAAGCATTTAGTCTTGCTTGGATCATTTTTAATTATTCATTAAAAATGGTTGAAAAATTCTCAGAGATTTGAGTAGGTGTTAAAAAGCAAGTGTTATTCATTGATTGTAAACAAATAAAAGAATATCCTTTATGAGTTTTAAAAAAAAAAAAAAAACTGAAAAATTAAATTCTTTTAAAATTTTTAAATTTAAACTTCTCTAAACACTAACAGTTAACATTACACACCAGAGTTAAAAGGTTAAAAAAAACTGTAAGTTACAATGTTAAGTAAAAAAATCAATTCAGTAGTAAAGTGGAAATTTTTTTTTTCTCTGTAAAAAAAAAAAAAAATTATAAAAAGTTTCATGTGACTTGAAAGATGTCAACAAAAGATGTGGAATTGATCATAAATTAAAAAAAAAAGACTTGTTGATTCGGATTGATTGATATGTTCTGTTTTAAAATTAATAGATTTTTTTTTTTTTTTTTTTTAATAAAATTTATTGAAACAAAGCAAGTAAAAACACATGATGGATCACTGAAAACAAGTTCTCGGCCCTACACATTTCCAAACACCAGAATTTATTTTAAAATCCTTTCCTGATTTTGCCGAGAACTTTTCATCTCTTTGAAAACAAATTTAAATTGCCATTTTTTATAAAATTTTAAGATTACAAAAAAAAAAAATGTAAGCACACGAAATGAATGGCCTTCTTAAAAAACCAAGCCAGTTCATAGATAATTTTTTTTTTTAAAGTATTTCGATGTTTATTTGCATCATTTTAAAAGAAAAGAAAGATAATTGTAAAAATCTGGTATTAATAAAAAAAAAATCGAATCTATTGTTTTCTTGTTCAAATATGTGTTTTTGAGTAAGTTTTACTTGTTTTATAAAACATTTTGTATTTTTGCTTGAGTATGTGAAAAAAAAAGATGTCAATTGTCGATTATTATTTCATTCAGGGACCAAATTCGTTGGAAAATGCAGGAGGTCTACACAAGTTTATGGGTTGGAATCGAAATTTACTTACGGTGAGTACTAATAATAATTATTAAAGAAGAAATAGTTTATTGATTTTCACTGTTTTTACTTTGTATGCACATTAATTTTATTTTTATTTTATTCAAAAATTAAATTCATTGTTGATCGATGTAAGCTTGTAAAACCTGAATTTTTTTTTATGACTGAAAAGTGAAAATAGATAGTAATACAAGTCTGAATTTCCATGTTTGGAAACAATATGGTTCATTTGTATAAAAACTAAAAGCCATTTAAAAAAAAAAAAATTATGGTTTCATATGTGTTCACCGAAATATTTCTGATAATCGATTCCATAGACTTACAACTGTAAGGCTTCTTACAGGTCTTCTGTAAAAATAATAAATTAAAGAGATCGTAGATACGATGGATTTTTATTCCTGAATTATTCCTTCCTACAAGATTTTATAATCTCAGAATTCTGATTTTAATAATTTATTCTTTCTTTCTTTACTTGTATTCGGAGTTAGTGAGCTTAGCAATAAATTTTATAACCGAGCAATGTGCAGCTTAATGTTTGAAAAGTGTTTTTAAGCACGTTCTTTTGGATACGGCTGTAAATGAATTTAGACAAATTGGAAATTATCAATCATCAAATTAAAAAAAAAAATTCTTATTTTTTTTTTAGTCAGTAGTTTTAGTTCTGTATGCTTTTAAAAGTTTTATTTATGATAATTCTCATAATTTTCTTCAGGACATTTAAAAAATATGCTCCCTTTTATACTGCATTAAGTAATTGAGGCGAATAAAGAAAAACAGTAACCAGCGAGTAAATTCAAGCTCTCCCAACTGGTATTTCAACCTTGAGTCGTTCCTCCTTGAGTTCTGTCTCAAAATCACACTAACAGACTGTTCTTGCCACCAACCGTGAACGTCACTCGAAGAACTGCCCCACTGGGAAAAAAGTAGTTACTTTTATATTTGTCCATATACCCATAATCCCTTGCGTCTTCATGTGATCCCATAGTTCATTGCGTCCATGTCCCATAATGCATTGCATCCTTATTGCATAAAAATGCAATGCAAGTCCCCCCTCATTCTTTTACGTTATCTGGCCGAGGACGGATTGCGACAGAGTGGTAAGTGCTTTTTTCATTTCAACTGCAGTAGCTTTACATGTTAAGCAAATACGGGCTCTTTTTTGGCAGGGACAAGGCAAGTCGCGACCAGTTGTGCTCGTCCCAGGTTCTGTCTCATGTCCGCCACAGTAATAAAAACATAGCCAGTAACATGTGGCAAGAATAACAGCTATTGTCTCATAATAACTACATGCCAGTGTTGGGTATATGAGCAGATAAACCAGCCTCAAGTACATTTTGATGCTTTGAATGCTACAATTTGGATCAAGGAGAAAGATTTCAATGACTTTGATCAAGGCTAAATTGTTATCATCAGAAGATAAGTTCAGCTTGTGAGGTGTTCATGTTCTGTTGTGATGAGTACCTATTAGCAATGATTTGAAAAGAAAAAAAACCAATTGCATTGAGGTGTGACTCATCAATACAAAAAGAGGCTTTCCAGTCAAGTATGGCCCAACAAAAGGATTGCTGTGGTACAAAATGTAGTTTGAAGATATATATCACAATGCATCAGTCCTTGTGGTCTATCAGACTGCATAGCCACTGGTCAGAATATCCATGCTAACCAATGTTTGTCTTCAAAAATTGAAACTATACCATCTATCAATGAAAGAAGTTTGTCCAGTCTAATGAGTTTCACTTTCTCCTGAATGAGGCAGTGGCATATATATATATATATATATATATATATATATATATATGTGTGTGAAAATAATGACATCAGTATATACAATGGGGAAAACAACAAATTAGTGGATGCAATAGGATGTTTTGGGAAACATAGGGCCTTAGCATTCATGTGATAGGTACATTTTCATATACCACTTACCGCAATATCATTGAAGATGACAAGTCAATGGCATGAATTTTTAGAAGTGTTTTTTCACAGTGTTGTTCTGACCAAATTCCCCAGATGTCAATTACATTAAGTTATGAGGTGTGTTGGACCAATCACTCTCCAAAATCACTATCTCATAATTGCATCAATTAAGGTAACTGCTGGCAACATCCTAATGTCAGATTCCAGAAAAAAATTAGAGGTTTTATAGAGTCCATACTGGATCAGGTAAGAGATCTTTTGCAGGCCTATAGAGGACTAAAAAACTTGAGCAGGTCATCAAAATGAGAACAGTTTATCCCTGTGGATTAAATAAAGTGTGTTCTATTTGAAATTTTGTTATCGAATATAAAAGGTGCCTGAAAAAGGTTGGAGAATACAATAGTTCAGACATGACAATAACAACCAAGATGAGGACAACAGTTCAGACATATCAGTTTTATAACCATGATAATTTTACAAATGACTTAATTAATAAAATAATTTTTTTATGACAGTTTATACATTTGAAACTGGGATTTTTAAAACAAACTCACTCACACAGCATCCTAAATTAAATGTTACATACACCCTTGTGCAAATTAATTGAAACAAATGCTTTAGTTTCATTTCTTTCACCATATGGTCAGTTTTAAATCCACTGGAGTGACAGGGTGTAATCGATTTCTATTTTTTCCCAGATTAGGTCATTTGCAGTGGTGTGCAGTAATATGAATTTTTTTTCAAGATATATGATGGAATTTGTTTGGCCTTGAAAAATATTGCATCATCCGTGATTGCATCAGAAATTTTTATCACACCAAGACACTATTGTCTAGACTGTCAATTAGTTGTCCTATAGCCATTGTCTGCAATGGACGTTACTCCAAAGAAGTGTACAAAAATTGTAATGCTGCACAAACACACTGGCAAGCCTTACCATTGAGCAAATCAAAGTATTATAGACTGGCCCAGAAACTCTTCTGATTTAAATCCAATTGAGAATCTGTGGTCAATCTGCAAGGAATGACTTCATGGAATGGATATATGAAGTACTAACATATGCACTGTCATGTTTCATTAGAAAAACATGAAAAAAAGTAAATAATGGAATTATTCATTTTGTTTCAATTAATTTGCACAAGGGTGTAGTTTTCTATTTTGTCATACAACTGAGTTTACATTGTGTTACTGTGGAAAAATAGCTTATCTGATTACTGTGTAGTGAGTTTGGGTCTCATAGGATGCTCCACATTTGTTATCTTGTGTGAGAATAAGCTAGGATTAAATACCTATTTAGATGCTCAGAAAATTAAAGTACACTTATTTTCATTTTGATAAATTATTTTTAATATAGATTTTATAAGAAGTTGACAAACTATTTAGCTAATTTTAATTTTCTTGAGAATTGACAAAATATGTACACAACAATTTGACCTTTTTACTCTATTTGAAATGGAAAAATCTTAAGGTTGTAAGGTTGGTAGTTAACCTTGAATTGTTTAGAATTTTTGTTAAGTGTAAAATTTCATTAGTTCCAAAATTTTGATTTCCGGAACTTGATATCTAGCAGAAATATTGATGGCAATCCAAATATTTGGTAAATGAATGCATGAATAAAAAAATAAAATGGCTGTTATCAACAAGTAGATTTCTTGACATACATCAATGTCTTGTTGAAATTTAAGCCACCTGGTTTGAAATCTAACATTATTAAATTTCAGTGATATTTTGAGAAGATTATTAACTGATTGATTTCTTTGATTTTAGGACAGTGGTGGCTTTCAAATGGTGTCTTTATTAAAATTAGCCAAAGTTACAGAAAAGGGGGTAGAATTCCAGTCTCCACATGATGGAACGATGATGATGTTGACACCAGAGAAATCCATTGACATCCAGAATTCTATAGGTAAGGCTAAAAGTATTATTATTTTGCTATTGAAATCTATAATGATTTGCCTAAGTTATATAAATTGTACTACTGATTTACTAATCACTACTGCTATTATTTTAAGTAAGCATTAATTGAATGATAATGTATGTGCTCTGATTTTGAAGGAATCTACAGGGTGCGATGGGTAAATTGTCGCCATTATATATTTTTAATTTCATGCAAGTGTGTTTATCTTTGATTTTGTTGACTGCACAGTATAGTGGGGTCAGTTGGGCACTATCTGTGAGAAAAAGAGCATGACACAATTCACTGCGCCAGAAATTAGGAAGCAACATGCTGTACTGCTTGGCATTTGCACCATAAGGTCCAATATGAACATTTCAGTGTTTGGGTGTCAATCTGAGGACAGTGCAGAGGATTCAGAAAGCGTTGGATGAGTCTGATAGTGATTACAATAGTACACCAGCTCTGAAAACTCACTCTAATTGTTCTGATTAGAAAAGAACTCTCATATTTGTTGGTGAGGGCCTCAGACTCAACATGGATGCCTACATCAAGTGTCTTGAGGAGGTAGTACTGCTCTGGGTCAAGAGGATGGTTGCTGGAAGACCCTCTGTTTAGCAACTGGACACCATGCCACACAAGCAGGAGACCCCCAGTCATTTCTGTAACTACATCATTTCTTAATTTGGCCATCTTACTTCCCCAGACTGCAACCCCATTATTTATTATGTGTGGGGCATAGTTGAGCAAGCGACCTTGTAACAAGGTTGGAGGGCACAAGGCTGAAACATTGTGATAACAACAACATGAGGACAATAGTCCGCATATAAATAGTGTAAATAACTCATCATACCAGAAATTCAAACATAAAACACTATTTTTGTTCATTTCTAAGAGCGTAGACCAGATACATGTTTCATATTTTCTATACACAACCCCCAAACATATCTACATTAAATAGTATAATTTCTAAGTTACTCATCTTAGTCAGGTTGGTGTCAAAAATATTACAAATTGTAGCAGTGATCATTAAAAATTTTAAAATATTATAATAATTTAAATATCTGAAAACTATAATTTTGACTCTTTTGCATAGATTGTTGTAAAAAATAAAAATACTTTTTCATACTTGAGATTGGTTTTAAACTATTTATAACATCAATTTTGGTCACTCAAAATTCACTTTATCATTAATGTCTATTGACAGAAAAATTAAACTATATGATTAAAAATAATCCAAAATTTAAGTAGCCATTATAAAAATATAGGATTTGATGACTACTTAAGTGGATTTTGAAAATATATTGCTTAAAATATAATGAAAAATATGTTTGTTATAGTAGTTACCTATTATTTGTCAAACTGTTCCAAAAGTTAAGTGGATATTAAATCCATTTTCTTCTTCCAAATGTGGTGAAAGCCTGCTTAAGTTTATCTCATGGTATAGCTGAAGTAGGGGTGACCAAAAATGACAAAATCTGATATTATCCACAGTGGTAAAAAGTATAACTAAAGAGAACAGTTTATATCATGTCAGTGTCATATGTTTAGTCAGGTTTATTTTACATCTTTTTGCCAGCTTAAAAAACCTTCACTTTTTTTTAGGTGCTGATATTATAATGCAGTTAGATGATGTGGTCTCAAGTTTGGTGAGTGGTCCTCGTGTTGAAGAAGCAATGCACAGGTAATTGTTTTTTTTTTATGGAGTCCTCTCTTTGGTACTATCCAAATGTAATATTTTCTCTCTTTTTATTAGATGCTGTGACTGCGATTGCACAATGGTTGCATTTAACCATTGTTGGTAAATCTTGAAAAATTAATAGAATCAGGACCCTATTTCACTTGCAGGTTTTTCACCCTTTTGTCATAACTATTAATGGTAGACAGAATTTATTTAATTTTTCTTCAATGTCTATTCTGTCAGTGAAAGTTCAAACATAGATGAAGGGAGAAATGGTTTTTTGACTTTTCAGGACAAGCTTGAAAGAATGAAAAAAAAAAGAAAAATTATATATCTGTGCAATTTCATTTTTCAAGACACTAACTACTATACCAACTCTGACATTTCTTTGACTTGTGTTCATAGTTGCATTTATGGACTTCCAGGCTTTAAAGGAAATCTTTCAAATTTATCTATACTTTGATTTGAACTTTGGCCAATTCTGTGGCAACATTGGCCAAAGTTCAAATCAATATTTGCAATTCCAGTGATAGCATCAGAATTCACCCTATAAAAAGTTAAAACCTTAACCCTTCTTTGTCATCTTTGTTCAATTCACATTGTGTTTAAATTTTCTGATCTGAGGAAGTCTTGACTGAAGCAAGATGAAACATCCCCAGGAATGAAGTCAGTTAAATTATAAGAAAAATAATGAAAAGAATAACACTAGGTTTATTTGTTGAGGGTTACAATTAGCAAATAGACCATAACCAGTTCAGTGATGCTGCCATCTTAACTACAGCCAGTTAATGAGTTCTTAAGTGTTGGCATTAACACATTGCAACAATTGGTGACTGATGGTCAGTTCAGTAATTTAATCAGGGAACGTTAGTCTCATGCCTGCAGACAAAGTTGGTAACCAAACAAACCTCTTAAGTATCTGTCTATATTTCTGAGATGAGGTATTATGTACATTATTTACATTATTCAGACTATTGTCCTCAACTTTGTGGCCATATTTATCACAACGTTTTGGCCGTTGTATGCTCCAGCCTTCTTCAGGTGGTTGGAATGTCGAACTTAACCCTTTATTTTGCTCACTGGGGTAGACTGTTCTAGTTCCACATGCTATGTTTAATGGATGTAAAGAATTTCCCTTTGTTTTTCTCTCTTTCTCTCTCCAGTTTCACTTTTGCTTCTTTTTCAATAAGTTTTTCAATAACTAATAACTTTATCAGGAAGCACCTCTGTGCTGTCTCTATAATAATTTCATGACAAACATTTCAATCCCTCAAATCTTATAACATGTAGGTCAGGAAGAACATCTCTTTCACTTTCAAGATAATTCTGTTTTCTTTAGGCTTACATTCTCTCAGCTCTTTTTATAAAATGGGTCAAAAACACCCAGATTCCTAATCTCTTTCTTGTCAACATTGAAACTTGTAATCAAGTCTTAACTTTTCTGGATTTTTAGATCAAAATGGTAAATACCACTTTTAAGTAGAAAAGAAACAAACTCTGAAGTACTTCTGCATTCCAATTGGCCACCAGGTGTAGATTCATTTGTAAATCTGTTATAAAAGTAAAAAATTTAGCTTAAATCTCATAAAAATATTTATTTCTATGAATTTTTGATTACAAGTTGGCAGTAAAAAATCACTTCAGTATTTGTAATCTTTCCGAACAAGACAATATTCTTTTTCAGTTATTTTTCTCAGTGTTTCTTTATGGACAGGAAAATGTTTGTACGACTAGGATTTTTCACACATTTTTTAATATACTAAATCAGTTTCTTGGCTAAAGACTGAAACCCAAATGTCCCTGGCTCCAAATCTCAAAATTATTGATTTCAAGTAAATATTTGTTTTTTTTTAGTTTTGGTGAGTCAACTGGAACAGGAAAATATAAATTTTTCATCCTTGGTACAAAATGAAAAAATCTCTTGTTGATAAGATGCTTGCTTTTTTTTTTTCCCTTCAAATTTTCAAAAAGGCTACCAAAATTGTGCACTGCAGCCAACTGACTATCATTATAGTTGAGATGGTGATTACTCAATGCACCACCTATAGGTTTAAAAGGTGAAGATGAGTTACAGATTCTTTTTTCTCCTTTCAAATACACAGTATAAATCTGTCTGAGCAAATTGAATCTATTTGCTATCCTTTTCATTTTACACTTGTCTTTTTCTCTAGAACAATCCGCTGGTTGGATCGATGCCTAAAAGCTCATAAAAGACCTCATGACCAGAATCTCTTTCCAATTGTTCAGGGAGGTCTTGATCCCAAACTTCGACAACAGTGTGCAGAAGGTAATGTATTTCTATAAGATTTATTTTTTTTAATGGAAAGATTGATGTTAATTATGAAATTTTTTTTTTTTTTTTTTTTTTTTTTGAGACAATTGTAATTTTTCAAGCATAGCTTAGATGTGGCACAAGGCCAAAAGTATGGGGCATCCAGTGAGGATTGAACTCACTACTCAGTCGTAATTGTTCTAGTGAGACAAGCTTGCTAACCTTTACACCACCTCAAGGTACCCATTTTTTTGAGACAATAAAAATCCATTAAAAAATAGTAAAATTAAATTTATTAATCAAAAACACCATTATTATTGTTAACAATGATAAAAACCCGACTCTGTTTCTTTTGATAATGGTCTCTTGATATTCTTCCCTATTGTGAAAGCTTTTGCTACAACAGGAATGGTGTTTAAGTTTAGATGTTGATATGGGAGTTTTGTTTTGGATTCCAGTTTCCTTCAACAAAAATTAATTTCATTTTGAGCTTTTGTCATTGTTAATGACAATTTTGTTCTCAGAAAATAAATTTAACATTTGCTACATTTAACCAGATTTTTATCCTCTTTCTGAAAATCTTTTTAAACAGCCTAATATATAAATATGCATGTTTTCTGACTATTTAGCATACAAAACTTCCATTTGTTGATGAATGGACAAATATTTTGATTTATTCAGTTCTTATTTTCAGAATTTGTGTTATTTATTTAATCATTTCACCCCAAGCAAGGCAATAAATCCACTAGGATGCAATTGTTATAGAATATCAGAAAAACTACTATTAAGGAGAGAGGACAATAAAAGAATTAAGACGACAGAAGATAACAATTGACATTGCATTTAAATTTTTGAAGATCAAAGTTGAATAGGAAGCAAGAAGCCGGAAGAGAGTTCCACAAGCAAGAAGTGCGATAAAAGAAACTGTTAGCATAGAATTTACGGTTACATCTAGTCATTTCAACTGTAAAATGATGAGACATTGCTGTCAATCTAGTACTTAATATATTCTTTGGTTCTCCACATTGTCTGACATTTTGAAATTTATTATTTTTTTTAATTTGTATATTTTTCAGGCTATTATCTTCATATTTTTGTTGTTTTTAACACAGCATTTTGTTTGATATATTCTTCACCCATCCAAATGTTAAGAGATTATTTTCATTATTCCTGTTGTGTAAGTTGATGAATGAGTGTATCTGTAAAGGAACAAGGTGAATAAAAAGAGACCAGAGGAAAAAAATATTTGTAGCTGACACATTTCTTCTCGGATGGACTTTATCAAGGTAATTGCCTTGCTAAAGTCCCTCTGAGGATGAAATGTGCTGGCTAAGAATAGTTTCCCCTCCACCTTTGGTTCCTATTGTTGATAACATTTTTTTTTGTCCTCCTTAAGTTGAATCTGGTGGTCTTTAGATGTCAATACTTATTTTCCTTCATGATATTCCTGAACTAAAATATCACAGGACGTAGTATTAAGGTCTCATGTTAGTTGTATTAACACAAGACTAACTAATACGGGACTCTAAAAACTTATGGACAACTATCACCTATTTATTAACAAATTTACAGAGCAATGAATTTCAGTTTTATTTGTCCTCTTGTTGATGCTACAATTTTGACTTTTACTATTTATTTATTTATTTGATTTGGTTGGACTGTGTTGTTTTAGTTGAAAAGATAACAGTAATAAACAGTTTCTAAAACCAGATATAGCCTCCACACTGTAGAAGGCCGAAGTATGTATTGGCTGAAACAATGGAAGAAAAACATGATAAAGACACAAGTTTGAAAAATATATGGATTAATGAGAAATTTAAAAAAATGAAAATACTTTATCTTCTATTGGAAATTTTCAATATTTAAGTATCAATGATAACTAATCCTATCATTTTTTTATGGCTACTGTTAATATATATATCATTTGGTGTTAGTGATTCCAGTAAAAGCCATCAGGTGACAGTACTGGTGATGGCAATATTGGTATACAATGGTTCCAGTATAGATCTAAAAGAAGAGCCATCTTGGATTAGTTACTGATCTGAAATTTAATAATCAGTATGCTAGTATTTATTATATAAATCATTAGTCATCTTTTTATATACAAGGTTTGCTTTATGTTTTATAAAAGTCATTAAACAATAAAACTATATACTTATATTTTTAATTCAGTTTGGCAATCAACTTGTAACAACATACCAATTTGTTTGGTTGTCACAGGTATCAAAGAGGATCTCTGATTTGACCCCTCTTAGTGTAATGAGATACTGTCCCAGTCACCAGACTTCTTTTTTAATTTATTACCAATCAATTGAAGGCTGTCATACTACAAGGTGGTCCGAAAGTCTTGTCACCTCTACCAAAAAGTAATGGGAACACTAGAAATATTACTGAACTCATGTCGCACATACTTCATGCTCTTGCCAGAATACACACAATCATGTGTCCATATACTTGAAAGCAGCCTCTCTTCCAAATAGTAGGAGCTTGTGTCAAGTGTCTGAAATAGAAAATTATATTATGTAGGGGATGACTTTCGGACTGCACTGTACTATAGACAACAATCATGATTTAGTAAATAATGTTATTTCAAATGTAAATTTTAATTTGAAGAAATATTTTAATGGTACTGAATTATATCTTATAGTATTTCTTAAAAAAAAAAATGAAATTGAATATTTACTTGGTTACAGAATTAATTCAAAGGGATGTTCCCGGATTTGCAATTGGTGGTCTCAGTGGTGGAGAACAAAAGGATCAGTTTTGGAGAATGGTGTCACTCTCTACAGATGTACTACCCAAAAATAAACCTCGGTACCTAATGGGTGTAGGGTAAGTACTTCAGCTTTATTGACATCATATAGCTGTTGATACAATAGAATGATTTTTCTCTCTGACAAATTTTAACCAATTGTTGGCTTTATTACATCTGATAAAGATATTTTACCTATGGATTACATGTAGCCAACCTTTACCAGGAATCAGAAATTCTACAAGGTTTTTTTTGTTTTTTACATTCTACCTGCTGCTTTTGATCCATTCTTGTAGAGCTTCTGATCCCTGGTAAAGGTTCAAACCAGACTCTGCAATGATTCCTAGTATATAATCATATTTCACTTAAAGTTAAAAAACACTTAATTAAAAGTACATTAAACAAATATAATGGCTGAAAGATGCCTGCTCTGTGGTTGTCACATACATATACACATATACATTTTTTAAATTTCAAATTATGTAACGGTTAGTCGATATTCAGCAGCTGAAGATTACATTGTGCATGAAATTCCAACTCATGCTAGCAGTAAGAGATTATATATATATATATATATATATATATATATATATATATATATCCCTCACCAATAGCATAGCTCTCACTTTCCTACTCAAAACAATCATCAGATGCTGATTGAAAACTGACTGTTGCATTATATATATATATATATATATATATATATATATATATATATATATATATATATATACTGTACTATAATGATAGTGAGGCACTCCATTTTATTTTGCGAAAGGGGTAAATAAATGAAAATAAAATAAAAAAAATAATATATACACATATATATTGGAACGGTATTATTAGTTTTTATTACTTTTATTTTTTACTATTAATATTTTTTTTATTGGTTTTTATTTTATTTTCATTTATATACTTGTGTGTGTGTGTGTATATATATATATATATATATGTGTGTGTGTGTGTGTATATATATATATATATATATATATTTTTTTTTAACACTATTTACATTATTTGGACTATTGTCCTCATCTTTGTCGCCATATTTATTACGTTTCAGCCATTGTACGCTCCGGCCTTCTTCAGGCGGTTGGGATATCGAACTGAACCCTTTATTTCGCTCACTGGTTCCATGTGCCATGTTAGATGGATGTCAGCTATCAGTTATTTCCTGTTAATTCTCCTCTCCAACTTCTCCACTGCCTTAACTGGGTATTGAACTCACACTCTTTGGGTCCTGTCACTGGATCTAACTAACACCTTTATCCACTGTGCCATGTGGCTTTATATTTAACTTGATCATTGTCATTAATTATTATCTATTCTTATTCTTTTGATACTATGCAACAGTCAGAAATCAAAGCAAACACCCAAATTGTAAAATTGGATAAAATTGCAAATTTTTTTAAACTTTATCCAAAGGAACATAAGGCTCTGGTTAGAAAGGATTTAATAAAGAGTTACAAGAAAGTAAATACCGACAACTATAATTATGTGAACATCATCAACTCCTCGAAAAAACAGATTACTGATAAGCTGAAAATCAGTGATAGGGTATCCAAGCTTTCGACTAAGGAAACTCATGTTCTACTTAAAGATCATAAACCCAATTTCCTAAACAAATTACCTCCAAGGATTATCAATCCAACAAAGTCTGAGATCAGAAAAATCGGCAAAATGATCCTAGAACGTGTGAACATACAGATTAAGAACCAACTCGGTCTCATCTAATGGGTCCTGACTACAGAAGTGATTGACTGGTTTAAGAGCTTTAGCAATAAAAACCACTGTTTCATTCAATTCAACATTGTGGACTTCTATCCATCCATATCCAAGAACCTATTTAAAAAATGGCTTTGGAGTTTGCTGAATTTTATTCTGATATTTCTAAGGATAAAATCAACATCTTTTTAAATTGCAGAAAATCAATAATAATCCACAACAATGAGCAGTGGATAAAGAATTTGGATTAAAATTTTGATGTATCTATGGAATCATTGGGCTCTGCTGAATCAACTGATTTGATTGGATTATTTATTTTGTACAATCTTACAGCATATGAGGAAATTAACTTAAATGATATAGGGTTTTATAGAGATGATGGTCTAATGATAGTAAATAATTCTACTGGAAGGTAGATAAGCTGAGAAAATTAATTCATAGAGTGTTTAAATCTTTACATCTCATGGTTAAAATTAATTCTAATATTAAACAAGTGGATTTCTTAGATATAACTTTAATCTTAGCACTTAATAATTTTCAACCCTTCTTGAAAAACAATGCTAGGACCATTTATATAAATCCTAATTCCAATCACCCAATGTCAGTTATTAACATATCCCATCATATGTTGAACGTCATATTACCCAGCACTCCTCTAGCAAAGAATTATTCGATAAGCATAAAATTGTTTATAACAAAATCCTTACTTGATAGTGGCTACAGATCTTCCAAAATTAAATATGTTGAAAATTATAGTTACCCTAGAAAGAAGAATACAGGGGAGAAAACAATTTGGTATACACCTCTGTGGTGAACAGTCCTGTAGAAGCAAGTGAGCCAGAGTGGCTTGCATCTTGTGCATAGGAAAATAAGGGTCTTACCTTAACGTGCGGCCTGTGGCATCAGCAAGTTTGCTCCGTGAAAAAGTGCATTACTCTCCCGTCTGGCAATTCCAGCAGTATGTGCAGTAACAAGGGTACAGTTTGGCATGCTTCCACCAATATCAAGTCGTGTGCTGATTGGTCGAACTAGAGGAGGCTATTTACCTGGGTAACTGACAATAAAAGCAAAAAATGCTGCTTGGTTGGTCAACTGCGGTGTTGGCCTGATAAAAGAGGGCTGAAGTAGTGAAAAAGGGGAGAAAAGATGGATTTATGTTTTGAAGTGTTCAGAAAGCAAAAACGGCAGATTGAACCAGTGGTATCTTGATTTTTACAAGTGACGTCATAGTAATAGTGACTCATTTAAACTACAACCTCCCTTCAATAAATTAGTACATACCAAATTGGTGCAAAAATTTTAAAATTTGATTGATAATCATTTTCCTAAGAATAGTCAATTAAGTCACGTCTTCAATTGTAATACCCACAAATCAGTTGTAGTTGTATTAGAAATCTGGATAAAATTATTAAATCACACAACAATAGAATACTGAAACTTTATAATGATAATAAGTGTAACCCAAACACAAATTCTAGTATACCCCAGGTAACCAAACTATGTAATTGTAGAATTCCTAATCAATGTCCATTATCAAACAAGAATGAAATTCCTTGTATATATGTGTTCCATCTCATCAACTGAAAACCCCAATAATATTAAATTGTATGTTGGGTCCACTAGGAATGCTTTTAAGGAGTGATATTATAACCACATATCCTCTTTTACTAATGCAAGCAAATGCAATATGACTTCACTTTCTAAATATTTCTGGAAGAAAACAAAGCATCTAAAGTTAAGTTGAAAATCCTCAAACAAGCCAGAACTTGCAGATCTCTGAACAAACCTTGTTTTTTTTTTATGTCTACTGTATTATGAAGCTTTTGAATAACAGTCAATTGTTAAACCAAAGATTTGAAACTACCGTTTTTTGTAGGCACATTAAAGATCTAACATTGCAATCTTGCTAAACCTTCAAATTTATAATTCACCTCCTTTATATATTTTTTACCTTTTTACTGATCTATCTTAAACTACAATTCTAAATTGTTTATGCACATGTATAATACTAGCAATAATATTAGATAAATAGATTTATATCTATACTTATTCTACAAGTTATATAGTTTGGTAATAGGTTTAATTTATTTGATAGAAAATTTATATTAACATTCCATACTTTGTCTTTTACTTATATCTTAAATTCTGAACTAAATTTTATTGTAATACTTCAAATAACTTATGTATTTTACATCAAAAACTTTCTACTTCTTAAAAGACCCTTTATTAATTTACATACTATGTTTATTCCAGAACAAAAACGGAAACTTCAGCCTAAATCTGTGGCATTCAGCTCTGTTTCTGTCTTAAGGTTACTGTCCATTCATCAGTGGAATCGTTTTCAATTACTTCTATGGCTTTCCTTTGTACCTATCTCTCTTTTCTCCTTCATCGTTTTCTTCTTTTCTCTTTCCACCTTTCCCTCTCTCTCTCTCCTTTTTCTTGGAAGTTTTGGTGTGTTTGCTTAGATTTCTGACCATTGCATAATATCAAAATCTTTAGTGGGCACTTCTGCTTAGATTTAAACTTTTCAGGTTTTTATTTTAACACTTTAACATTCCTTCACTGCCCAAAATGCTATCAACAACAACTATTGTCTTACTCTGTCATTTTCTTTTCTTTCCTTCTCTTTTCACCGTGTTTTACCCTTTCTTCATTTCCTCTTAAGGTGTTTCTTCCTATGTTTTTTTCCAAAGACAATTTGAATAATAAGAAAAAGGAAGTGACGTTCCATAGGCGACTTATCTTAAATAGAATTGTTCATAACCACTTTTGGTTCTCACTAGTCAAGATGCCTTTGCATTGAAACAAAAATGCATCTTTGTCGTGAGTAATTGTTTTTGTCTGTATGTAAAAATTCATAATATATATATATTAAGAGGCAATGTTAGGATAGTCTTCTTTGTTATATCTTTATCAATTTTAACTATTTGGAATCCAATTCTATATTTTTTGCTTCTGTTAGGAACAAATTTAGGTTGAGTATCTCAGTGTTTAGCAACTTGATTTTACAGGCTATTAATTTAATTTGTTTCTAAGCAAATGTCACTTATCTGTGATCTTGTGATAGACTAAACTAATACTACTGAAGTAAATTTGATCCTTATTGGGTGCCCCCACACTTGTGGCCTTGTACCATACTAAGCTAGTTAAATATTAAGAATTCTCTTTGTGTGTTTGATTCATTAAAGGGATTTAAAAAATTTATTAGTTAAAAACATTGTGGCACAAAATTGTTGAACAGTGATGTATACAATGTTTCCAGAATCTACAAACACACTATGTGAATAACATTTTAAACAAGTTAAGATATATTCAAAAGAAGAATTTGCTTGGTGGCTGAATTAGTTGTATATTTCCCCACTAGCACCCATATTCACTGTTCTAGTGTTAAAAAAAGATTAAAGACAGCAGGTAGGCTCTTACCACTCTTGGTGCAACACAATCTTACTACACCTTACCTTCCATTTAGATTTGTGTCTAAGTTAAACTTTGTAAATATCTGTAGAGTACTTTTGGGATCTACAAACACCTCATTATTGATAGGATTCAAGATATTATTCACATTCAGGATGTTATTGATATACAGGGACCAGAACCTAATTTCTATATGCATTCATAAAATTAAATATCTTAGTATGTTCTTTTGGTAAAATGTGATCTATTTGGTATCACTTATGTGCACATAAATTTGACTAAATTTGTGATATCCTCTTAAAATGTCCCCCAAATTATTTTCCTTAGTTGGGATAAAAAAGGTAATTTTGCTGGATATGGTGTAATATACCCACTAAGATTTGACTGAATCTGCAATACCCCAGAAAATGATATCTAATTCTAATATTCATTGTCAGAAAATAATTTTATATCCTGATGACAGTTTTGTGAAAAACAGATATTGTCTTTTATGTATGAAGGGGTGGGGGGTACTGAAAAGTTCTTGGATTGATTCACTTCCCTAATTTTGCCTTTGGGCTGAGAACTTTTCAGCAAACACTGTGTGTGTGTGTGTGTGTGTGTGTGTGTGTGTGTGTGTGTGTAATGGATGAGTATTTACCATAAGAGGTTTTTGTGATACCGCAATTTTTGATTTTAATATTTTCAGCTTTGCTGAAGATTTGGTTGTTTGTTCAGCACTTGGCTGTGATATGTTTGATTGCGTCTTTCCAACTCGTACAGCCGTGAGTTTTTTTACATTTTATTTGAATTAGGCAACAAAACTTGCCATTATTTTCTTTTCTTTTTTTTTTTTTTCTTTTGTGTATGTGCGTGCTTAGAGATTCGGAAATCAAGTTTTAAATATTTCTTTTATCTTTTCTCTTTCTTTTTTGATGTTTTTTTTTTTTTTTTTTATCATTGTTGTTTTCTAAACTATACTTCATTGGCTGTTAAATGAGTAATAGCCTGTTCCCTTTCAAAATTCTGATCAAATGCCTAAATATCAGATTTTTGAAGGGCTTCTTTCTTAGCATTTATAAAAAAAAACAGCTTGTGTTTATCTGTTATTCATTAATGTTTATATTTTTTTTTTGTTCTGTACAAGTACAGAGCAACAAAACACACAAGTGAGCAAGTTTAAAATGTTCTTGACATGACCCACTTCCCTAAATTTGGACACATAACCAAACATTAAAATTTTTTTTGAAGGGCATCTAATTCAAGAGTTTCTCACCACTCCTTCGTGTTTGTGTGTGTGCATGAGTAAAGTTGGATGGGAATTTGACAGAATGGTAAATATGAGACAATTTTGAAAAATTAGTTTGACATGTTTTGCTGATGGACCAGCATCATCAGAAAAATAATTTCACAAAAAATTAGTAGTTTATTCAATGCATTATTTGGATTAGCATCCTTATCTTTTTGTTTTAAACAACACACTTCAGTTAGTCAACTCTTCAACCTTCCTCAAGTATATGTCTCTTTAAAGAATGAAGAAGGTAGGAGAGTCCACTGGCCAATGTTGTGATCAAAACAACAAAAGTGAAAATATTCATTCAAATAATGACAATTCATTTGGAGATGGTATCTTTTACTGTTACATCCAATGATCTTTTTCAAACTAATCAGAAACTTAACCTCACCAACCTAGTTGCAGAGTTGATCTTCACTGTCTGCTCTACATTTGTAGTTGTGTACTTTGCTAGGCTTAATAAATCATATTTAAAAAAATGAATCCTATACATACATGCTCATTGGGATTGAGATCTGTAGAGTTTCATCTTCCTGAAACTGTTACTAGAAAATTTATGCAGCATGGCAAAGCACATTATTGTAGAAATCTGTTGCTATGAAAAGATGTACCTGGTCTGTGGATGTACAGGATATTTGACAAAGCACTTTTTACATGAATGATAGATGTTTTCTAAGCAGTGCATTAACCAAACTATCAGTGTATCCTGATGCCATAGGTTCTCCAAGATAACAACATCTATGCGTGTACTCTGCTGTCCAGAAGAAACTAAGATTCATTTTTTACCAAACAATCTTTTTATACAAGCTCCAGTTCCAAGTTTTGCAAGTCCTTTGAAGACAATTTGAGCAATTGACATTGGTTCACATGACTGGCTTGCTACTATGCCGCCCCATATACAACAATGAATGATGTACTGTGTGTTGTGACACATTCCTTCTGTCCCTTTGATTAAAGCTATTTGTATAAGGACGTATTTTTAGAAAGATTATTTTAATTTTTTTCTTTTTACATGAAATTGTTGAAGATTTTCCTTTATTGTTTTTATTTTATTAGAAAAGCTCTTTTTATAAACATCTTTGCACAAAATGTTGCTTATATTTTCTTATTTTGATTCAAATTGCAGCGTTTTGGCACAGCTTTGGTATCAAATGGACAAATGAATTTAAAAAACAAAAAATATGCTCGAGATTATCGTCCTATAGATGAAAACTGCAACTGTTCAACATGTCAACAGTACACGCGGGCTTATTTGCACACAATTGTTACTTATGAATCTGTGGCATGTCAGTTACTCACAGTTCATAATATAGCCTATCAGGTAAGTGTTTTCTATGTAAGAAACATTTCAGTCCTTGTCACTGTAGGGAAAAAGCACTTTTATTAGACAAGCAACAGAAGATGGGAAGTTGAATATTGTGTAAAATTGTTTTACTTTTTGTGGGTAACTATAAAATTTTATTTTTAAGGAAATGAAATGAAAAATGTTGAGCCATAAGCAAATATGGTGGTTTATATAGGAGGAAGTATTGTGGTCATGTAAGTGTTGTGGACAATTACTGCAGCATAAAATTTAAAAGAAAAAGATTAAAATAAAACAACTTGTTGTCTAGAAGATGCCAAGTTTACCACTCCATAGTGGACAGGTCCTCTGCAGAGTTAAATACATGAATGAAGAACAACAGCCAACATTAATGAGCAACACATGAAAACTTTAATACAAGAGAATGCATGGAAAGATGTATGTATTATATTTCTAAGATTAAAAGTTGAAACAATCACTTAGCTTCAATCTTTTACCTGAAATAAAATAGGGTTTTCTCGTTTTTCTTTTCTTTCTTTTTCTCTTGTTTTATATTTCTCTTTGTTTTTTGTTTTTTTTTTACTTGCAATTCGGTTTGTCTTGCTTGAGAAGCAGTATCTTTGATCTATCCTCCTTTCTGGTTATTTACTCTCTCTCCCTGTATTCAGTCATCCTGGGTAAGACATTAAACTACATCTAGCAGCAAGGCCTCTGAATACTTTTTTGAAAAAAACCACCTCTTAATTGCTGGTGTTTCCAGGTCCACCCAATACAATTTTCTAAGGCAAATATAATATTACCAGCAAACTTTTTGAAAAGATTTTTGACAAAACAAAAATATTACAGAAACAGATTTTGACAAAAAAAAATATTACCAGCAATAAAAAATTTTATCCATTAAATAACCCAATAAGGTTGATATGCCGTAAAAAACAAAATAAACCAAACCAATACCAAAGAATACAATTCTGATCCTTCATCCAATTGAATCTATCCAAAAATTCCTGGCATTAAATGACCCATCACATTTAACAATTAAAAAATGCATTTAACCAAAGCAAACCAAAGTATTGAATTGAATTGGAATTTGTCTTCATCATGTGATTTCTTTTGCTTGACAGTAACAAGTAAAAAGAAATGTTGCTCACACAAAACTCTGTTTCCAATTTATTTTATACTGGAAGTTTGTGTGAATTGAGGATAGCATTTCTTCTCTTCTGTTTGGTGAATCCAGTTGCACAACAGTTTCATAGCTGGTTTGACTCCTTTGAGTTTCTTTGCCCTAACTGGTATTTTTCTAATATTTCCCACTTAATATTTATACTTGGTCATGTGATTCTGCACATTTGTGGGAATCTATTTTCAGCTTCCATTTGGATCTGTTGTTGGGATCAGCTGCCTCAATATGGTGGAGTCCTGTACCAGACAAAGTGTAGTAACTATTTAATATATAATCTATTCAGTCTAGTTGTTTGAAGCTACTTTGATAAAGAATCTTGTGTCAGACTCAGATATTAGTAAATATTTAGGAATATTTAAACTGATTCAATGGATCATGGGACCTGGAATTTTAGAATTTAATTCTACTTAAAATTCTCCTTTTTTGTTGGGTGGGGTAACTAGCATTCATGTTTCATTTTCTCAGTTAAAATGACATATGCGTGCCAAGTCATATCACCTGTTTTTTGTTTTTTTTACTCAGGCTTATGATATTAGATTATTAATTCCACTAAAAGAAAGAATTTGACAAATTTTTAACAGTACATGTTTAACAGCTGAAGTTTACAGTAGGTAGCATCCTGATCTCAAAAGTTATTGAAAGGGAGATTGGTCCTCATCAACAGTTCAAAATGCATCCTTTTTACAAAGATGATAGACTTCAATCAATACTGGTCACAATCTTAGCTTAATTCGATGATAATTATACAATAATTGATTTGAAACACAGTAAATCTTGGGTATATCTTTTACACACTGTTTACTGCATTCTTGTCCTCTTCTCGCCTTGTTAATGAAAATCTCAGAACCAATTTATATAATAAGTTCTAATTATGATGTTTATCTTTCACTTTCAGCTTAACCTGATGCTGTCAATTCATAAAAGCATAAAGGAAGATAAATTTCCAGAGTTCATCAAAGACTTTTTTCTGAAGATCTACACAGACAGAAATTATCCAACTTGGGTTATTGAGAGCCTCTCAAGTGTAGGTGTACACCTACACTGAACAAATCATCTAAAAGAAAAATTTTTCATCATTCATTTTAAAATAAAAATTAAATTTCAACTTTTATATTTTGGAGTCTCTTGAGTTTCTTGTTTTTGTTTTATTAATTTATTTTTACGTGACTTTTAATTTTAGATGTTTTTTATTTTTTTTTAATTTTGTGCAGTAATCAGAGATTAATGAAAAATTACTGTAGTATTCTCTCTTCATATACAGTTTTTAATTGCATTTCTTCATTTGTCAACTGCATTTCTTATGCATAAAAGTAAAAATACTTATTTCATTTATTCAAATATTGAAAAAATTTTATCTGTTTTTATGAGGTTTTCCTTTTTCTTATGGAATTTATTTAGAAAGTAGATTCAACATTACCTCAGCAACAACAATAATACAAAAAAGATTTGTTTTCAAAGATGAATGCAAAGTTTGATTTGTTTGTGTTATATAATGGTGTTTGAAAATTTTTATTTACAAAAATTTAGAATGTTTATATATATATAGAATGAAAAGGCGTCTTTTCAATAACTTCAATAAAATATTAGATGATGTATTGATATTTTGGATGATACGCGTCTGATGACAGACGATAATTTTTTGTTGCTGGTCTTTTTTTTTTTTTTTTGAATTGGAAGCTGCAGATGACTCCTTTTAATCAGAGGATATTATCCTCAGTCAGAAATTTTTTCTCGGTCGATTAAGACATTTTGTTTTCTGGCTCTGTAATAAACTAACTTAGTTTGCCACGTAAAATTGAATGTTATTTTTAATGTTCAGCTTAGTGTCAAATTATTTACATTAGATAGATTTAAATTCACCAAATGTGAAAGAAAGAATTATATCATATAATTTATTATATAAATATATATATATATATATATATATATATATATGATAAAATCTAATTAAAATTTAATTTAATTAGATTTTATTACTTTTATATATATTTTTTATTATATATATAATTGTATATATTTTTGTATATATAAAATTGTATATGATACATTAAGCATATTGATTTCCTTTTTAGTGGATAAAAAAAATTTTAGACACTTATTATTAAGGCATTTTGTATTCACAGATTTAAATTTTTATTGTTGACATTTACATAATGTATACTTTAAATTTTGTAAAGTAAGGTTTTTGAAAAGTCTTTGAATAACTCATTTAGTTTTTATTCTGTATAAAGTTAGATGAAAATATGGATTTATCACCTACATTAAATCTGCTTTTGAGAAAAGGAAATTTTTTAAAGGATAATATTGAACACATTGTTCAATATGTTAAAAGAAAATCAATTTAATAAAGATAGTTTAGCAACTCAAAAAAGATAGTTATGGAATTATTAAATCCTGTTGATTTAATTAATGAGCAAATTACAAATTGTTATTTTGAAAATGAAGATGAAATACATCAACATATTAAGGTGGAAACTTTGTTTCACGCCAGAATTAATCATTTTTTTTGCTTCAGAAATTGGAAGAAGTTATAAACCCTGTTTCCGCCTGTGACTAGTAATTCTGATTTGTTTTCTTCTCATTATAATGTTGCTCCTAAATTAGAATGTCCTGTGTTTTTTTTTTTTTTTTTGTCCCAGGACAAATTTTCCTTTTTAAATTTTATAAAGAACTTGAAAATTGTAAAAAATTTTAGCGTTAAAATAAGTCTGAATAAACTTAAAAAAAAAAAAACATCTGAAAGGACAATTAACCCTCAGATCAAAAAATCATTTTCCATTTCAGACCTAAATTTTGATATTAAGAAAATATCTACCATTTAAAAAAGATTTTTTGGACAGGGATTATAGTAAATAGTATATTCATTTCTATTTCATTGAAGCTAAGGTTTTAAGAGATTTATTTGAATGCAATGTTTTTTTTTTTAAAAAATTTAAACTCAAATTTATGAATTAAAAAATTCATTCAATTTAGACTTTTTTGAATTTAATAGCATTGGTAATAAATATATGAGTTATACAATTTTCGAAAAATTGCCAGTAATCTTAAAAGAAATTAGAATAGTGGGAAATAATTATTCGTCACTTAATGACATTTTTGATAATTATTCAGAAGTAATTAGAACATTAGAAATTATTAAACCTAAAAAATTTTCTGTTTGAAACATGATCTTTAAAACCATTTTTCAGACAAATTAAAAGATCAGGATACCAACAGGATGGTATCTACTTTACAAAATTTTTGCACTAATGCTTATAATATTTGTTACAGTTGATTAATTTTTAAAAAAATTTAATTAAAAAAAATTATTGTTTTTTTTTCCTTCACATTTAAGGCTAGACTTCAGCAATGTGCAGTGAATAAGTTATGTGTTAAATATGCTAGTCCTAACCATTCTGTGGATAATTGCTGTGGTAAGAAAGGACTGTTGGATCCTTGATGGAAGTGTAACAAAAACTATCATATAGGAGCATTGTGTCCAAATTTGGATGGATCTCTTGTAACTTCAAATCCTTGTTTCCAACTAGAAGAATATTTATTACTTCCTATTTTTGAAATTAGAGCCAATTGTAATAACATCACATGCAAATTTAATTGTCTTATGGATACTGGGAGTCAACAATCGTATCTTTCAAGTAAAGTATACAATATGTTTAACTGTAATACAGATCTGCTGAAAAAGAAGGAGTTGGTTATTAAGACTTTTATAGGTGCTATCAAATGAGATTTGAAAGAAATTTAACTAAATCTAAAATTTACAGATAAGGAATTATCTCTTCCTTTTTTTGGTGGAAGAAAACTTAGAATTAGATTTTCATTTGGATGGGTTAGGACCTACCATATATAATACTTACCATACATACCTATATATATATAAAATAGAAACTACTATGTAAAATTTGAAAGGTGCAAAACATTTATTACATAAATATGAAACACTTCAACAAAATACAATTTTTATAAAAAGCTTGCACAAAAGTTACCTTTCATGCACCTTACGAACAATGCAAGATAACAAAATTATAGGCCCTTAAAAAGATTTAAAATACAATTTTTCAAATCATGGAAAATTAACCTTGGGAAGGTAATACAAAAAATGGAAAGAAAAAAAGAAAATACTCTTTAGAAGATGCACACAACTAATAGACAACAAAACATGCTGACAACATTTACATCCAAAACAATTTTCATAAACTGTGGTTTTCTTTTAATACTCTTCTCTCTAAAAGCAAGTATATCAGGCAAACCTAGACTATTTTTTTATTATTTTATATTACTATATATAAAAAAATTAAATTGACAACAAAAATAATAAACACTATTTATTTCTTAGATTGTTTATTTACACTATTTATTTATATTATTTATTGGAATGGTTGGCAAAACATCGGCTAATTGCTGATTCAAACTTTATAAAATGATAAATAATAAAGATTTCCTTATAGTTGGTTCACATATTTTAATAATTTAGTAAATGTTTATAAATTTATGAATAAAAATTGTTTTCATATTTATTTCTTTATAAATTGGTAAATGATAAATATTGCATTGCATTAGTTTTAATTGTATTAGCTTTTAGAATGTTGTAAATATAAAATTATTCTTGTAAATAAACAATCTAATCTAGTGTCTAATTTTTGTCATAAATACTCAAGAAAAAAAATGTATAAATTCACTTGCATCATATGTTTAGGTTTTATTCCAATTCTAATCACTTTTTAACACAACAAATGTTGCTGAAGGTAGTTAAAAATGTAGTGTCATGGGAAAAACCATCCTTTTGACACAGTGTCTTTTTGTGGGCATGAAGGTCCATGTTTGCCAAATTTTTATGCTAAGTTAAAGATTTTATAGATTTTTCCACTCTAAACTGTTCGGACATTTTACATTAAATAACCTGAAAACCAAGTCTAAAAATAAAAAAGTGAATGCTGTAGCAATAGCAGCCTTTGTAAATGCAAAGAACACCTTAATGCATTAAACTAAACAGTCATCTGGAAGTTAAACACTTTAAACATTTATTAGAAAACAAGAACTGTTTGTACCATAAGAAATTTAAGCTGCTTGAGCATGTATTGTCTGCTTTTCTGAGAGAAAACAGAAGCTGTGTTGAACTCTTGCTTAAACTTTTGAATTTCAAAAATATTTTTGGTACACTTCAATTTGTGGGAAATTGGCTGTGTTTGTTTTTTGATCAAAACTAATCAAAGAGTTTCCCTCCAAATTCCAAGGAGTGAATTTGGAGCCTATCTGAATGAATAAATAGGGACCTTGGATTGAACTAGAGTTGACAAACAGCTTCTGCATGAACTGGGGTTGCCCTGGTCCAGGAAGAAAAACAACTACCAGGCAAAAATTGTAAAGAACATCAGAGTTGCTCCTTGGCGGACTTCACCACATTAATTTAACTTTGATAAGAAGGTGTAAGTGAAGGTGTACAAATAATCATCAGCATGTTGGCGTGTGGTTAGAACTGGAGTTCCAACTGTCATAGATTCATTTAGCAGTTGAGGTCTCACTAATTGAGATGAGAAAAATCTTGGCTTAAATAAGCGACTATAAGCTCCGATTCATTGCACGGGAAAAATTATTCTTCACGTGCAAACAATCTGATTGGTTGGCATCAATCAATCAGCGAGTGAACTTTGGGGAGACTTAAGGAAGTTTCTGTGAGCCACTTCTCCCGAAAGTGCACAAATTTGACTACTTAAAAAATAAAGTGATTCCAAAATTGTCACATTACTGCGATTTGTAAATTGCCTTTGGAAAATGTATTAGTGATTTATTAACCAATGATTGTTTGGCATTGTACATGTGATTTTGTGTTTGTACGTAAGTAGGTTCGCACACTCCCACATCAAAGAAGATTCTTCAGCTGGTGTGATTGTTTTGTTCACTGTTACCATGGACTTTGTTTTGAAAATTGTACTTATTCTTTGAAAACTATTCACAGAAGTATTTTCTCCTTTCTATCTTTTATTTTTATGTTGTTTACTTTTTCTGAGGACCTTATGCAGCATTGTCATTTTTATTGTAAAAGAGGCAAATTTCATGTAGTGATTATTTTTACATACATGTTATTGGTTATAATTTGGCACACAAGCATTTAATTCGTGTAATTCTTTCATTTTTGTGTGTTAGCAATAAATTTATTGTCTGTTTTTTAAACTCAGCTTGTGTAATCTGTCTCTGTTATGTGCCCTTATAAATTAAATGTTGCCTCAAATGTTTGTTTGAACTGTATTTTTTTGTAGGTTTTTTTTACCAAATAAAATAGCCTTTAGTACAGACCTTAATTCTTTGACATACATGTCTACCAGTATTAAAAAGTACACTGAGGAAAGTAAGACATTTGTATTTGATAACAAAATATACTTCAAATATACAGCACATATCTGTATGAAACAATATCAGAACAAATGATCCCTCACTTGCTACTATCAGCACTTCAACATTAAGTTATAACATCATAGCAGATGAACAAAATTTCACTGCAATTCAAAGAATGTTCTATTCCATTCAACATATCTATAATTTTCATGTGTCATAGCTTAATACTGAAATTACACAGACTGAATATATCTCCAATTTTACATTTTTATTCTTTCATTATTTTCATAATCTATTATAGGCAAGCAAATGCTCAAGATTCTGTTTACCAATATAGTTGGACCTGTACTATATCCAAAGGGGTTTATTTACGCATAATTGTTAATTATTTCACAACATTGTTAGTTGCTGTATCAGTGAAAGATATATGTACAGAAACTGTGACATGAATTATCCTTGTCAGATTGGGTATAACTGACAGGGGCACTAATTTCTGATTAACATTTTTTAAAGAATTCGATTAACTCTTCAAGTTGAAAAACATTAAGATACTATGTTAATGACCTTGTGGGACATTTTCAAGGACATTTGCAACATAACAAAACAGATCAGACTAATAATTTATATATTGTGTTCCTATCGGTCAGGTACATTAAAGAAGACAGAATTCAGTCCAGTAGAATTTATATTTGTGACATTTCTCAAACCACTTGGACAACTTTTGAAAATAAAAGAACTTCAAAACCATCAATTATATTTATCAGTGACCTATAGAATGAAAAGCCACAAGATCCACACCAGTTACAAAAGCCACTACACAAAATTGTGTAAATATTTAAAAACTTATACAGTAGCAATTATGTTTGTATATGTGTTGTAGAGTAGTTTTCACAGTGGAGGCTTGTATTTCACTAAGTCGGTCATAAAAGGGTTTGACGTACAAAACGTTAGGAACTTGAAATAATAGTTAATGATGCAGCAATCTAGTTGTGGTGGTTGATACTTTAATGTCTGACATTGACTGACACCAACTCCACAGAGCCCCCTGGCGACTGCTGCTACTACTACTACTTATTATATCTGGGAGAGTCTATTTACAATAGAATAGGTATGTTCTAGTATAACAATATGTCAGGAAAAAAGATTGTTCAATCCAAACTATACTGTACCTTATAAAGTGTTAGACAAATCTGAAAAGTTTTATGCCATTCTAAAACAAAATAATACGTTCTGTGACCATCAACAGACTTAAACTTGCTTATATAAAAACAAATAAAAAGATAAAGCAAAACTTGAAAACTGAACCTGCAGTTCAGTTTAGATTGATTGATTCAATTTCTACAGTTTATCAACCCTTTGCAGGTTATTTAAAGCCAGAAAATACTTTTAGACTGGAAGATTTTTTGAGATAATAATAGTTTACTGATACAAATCTTACTAATTAACCCATAGCTGGGGGAGAAGTGGATTCATACCTTTCCTAAGTGTATTTGTGTATATATAAGTGAATATAACAAACCCAACAGGAATTGAAACTTGTCTCTGATTAACAATTACAAGCCATTATCCAATACAACAGCTGCACATTCAAGCTTTACAGCACCTGCTACTTGCAAGCAGTCAACCACCTAGGTACTGACCATGCTAAACATTGCTTAACTTCAGTGATCTATGGAAACCAGTGTTTCAATGTGATGTGGCCATAAGCCAATTCAGTTTAAATATTGTACCTTAAGTAGCTACCTTAAAAAAACTAGACCTACCATTGAGCTTAGATATTGTAGCTTAAGTAGGTACTTCAAAAAAAAAAAAAAGCTGAACTTACCATTGAGTTTAGATATTGTACCTTGTAGGGACATTATTATTATTATTATTATAAATAAATAAATATATAATAATAATAATAAACAAATAAAATAAAACAATAACGTAAAAACGTTTTATAAAATAAATAAAATATAAAAATAATAAATATACTCCCGGCATACAACAAAAACTGTTTCTGCCAGAAATATGGAGATCCTGCCAAAAGACATTCATTTAAATTCAATCTCTTCAACATGAACCTTTGTACGGGTAGCACATGTCTGACTTTTCTCTGTGATATGGCATTTAAAGTAACTTCTGCTAGGCTTACTGAGGAGGTTCTCATAACCAGCACTTCAGTCATCTAATTCTCCAGTGTTTTTCTCGGTCTTGCATTTTTTCTTCATTGCGTACTGGTTAGTAATCACCCTTTTCATTCCGTACATGATCAGTCATACCTAGTTTCATTGTTGCACCTCTTGACAGGGAGACAGATTGTGGTAGATTTTGATCCTCCTCCTTACCCCTAAGATTTATACCTGCAGAAACTGATGTTATATATGCAGGGTAGTTATTATTCTGAAGAGTACGTTTGATGCTGATCATCTGCTGTTATGTGCCAGACACCTGGAGAAATCTGGAGAGCACAACACCCAAAACGTTGTGATAATAATAAAGATGAAGACTTTTTTGTACATTTTAAAACAGTTTCTACAATAATAGCAATCTAAATATTGCATAAATAACAGGTCATTCTGAAAAAGATAAAAGAAAGTCTTCATTGGTTTATTTAAAAAAAGCCAACGCAAAAGATTCCTATTTAGAAAATATTAATAATGGAATTCAAACGCTAGATGAATTATCTCCCTTACTTTTACACCGGAATTTGTTGAGATTCACAACACGTGTTTTTGAGGTAAGTTATTTTTTCTTTTAAAATAAATTATTTTACAAGTATAATGAAACTTAACAAGATGCCAATCACTGAAAGTATTTTTGTATCGTTCTCTATTTAATACATATTAAAATTCTGTGTTATTTGAAATATTTTGTTGAATGTCTAACACTACGTCCCCAGTCGGGGATTGAATATTGAAAAATTTCACTCATTACTAAATTTTCCTTTGAATTTAGTTGTTTTTATTTTAACATCATTATCAAAACTTCTTTTGTATTTGTTACTGAATAAGGTGCTATAGAATTCAAAACGGATCGGTGACTTTGCGTTGAAATTTTTTATCATTTCCAGTTTACATTTGTTAATACGCTGGAATTGTACCTGAGCTTAAGTTTGAAATGAATTAAATTCTGAAAATTAATTATCTTTTTTTATGAGAAGCTAAATCGGAATCATTTTTTATTATTCCTAATTTAACAGCTGTATGAATTTCATGTTCATTTTCAGAAAGTGGAAATTTATGATATTGCTTACGGCTTAAAAGAATACATTTTTTAAACGAAACCGAACCGGCTTCTTTGAGGTCACTTTTTGTTGAGTTAAAAACAATTGAATGTCCATTAATTTTCTCCCCAAATCTATGGATCAAATTTTGTTTAATTTTAAAATGTCAAATCCGAATTCCTTGAAACTATTGATGAATTCAATAATAATGAAAAAAGAATCGATTTCTGTCCTCAAATTTTATCCCAAATATCACTAGTGTAGTTGTAATTCATGATTTTATCGATCACTTCCTTTGGCTTTTTAAAGTTTTGCGTCAGAAAGGAAACGAAAAATTGTGCCTTAAAAATATATAGATTTATTTAAAACATCTATTTGAAAAATTCAAATATTTGTGAGGACTATAGCTCACGGAAGAAAGAAAAAACAAACTGTCCTTGGTCAGTTTGGGGGAAAATATTTCCTTTCCGCATGCATATAGGATTGGAAGAATTATGGTTTCGTTTAAACTGAAATTATTAGTGAATCAAGTTTGAGCTGTGCTTCCTTAGGTTCAATTCGTACAAATGCACTTGGGAAAAGCATTTTTTTCAAATACCTTAAGAAATTTTAAAGAATTAAGGGTTCGTATTTTTCAACGAACAAAAAAGGGTTCATGACTGAAAAAACAATCTGCATGTTCATATTTTTTGTTTATATGGGGTTCTATTCAGAATACATTCTATTTTTTTAATATCTTGAGAAACTGTTCACAATGACCAAGTGAAAATGATCAGTGAAAGGGCTTTTGGCAAAACATCATCCAGATCACTCCCCGTCCCTGCAATTTCTGGTTGTTATAAAAAAAAAAGAGTTCAGACCATTGAGAACATGACAGCAAGGCAGCAGATGTCAATTCCAGAAGAAAATTTTGCAGATTGTTTTGAAAAGCTGAAGGGGTGTTAGATTAAAAATTGTGAGTACTTTGAAGAGGACTAAGGCATAATGGAGGCTATTGTTATGGCTGAACGCTTTTCCAGGCAGACTATTTTCTTTTACTTTTTTTTACACACACACACACACAATTTTTTTACTGTTAATATTTCTTCACCTTTATGTTTATTACGTTTTGGTTGTCTTTAGAAGTCTCTGAATATTTTTTTCCATGTCTTTTAGTACTTTCGCTGCTATGGACTGACTTACCTCTCCCAAAAAGCGATACCTCAATCAATTTTAACATGCATTTTAAAAATGAAAAATTTATTATTTCCAATAAGGCTGTATTTCAAACCGAATTTAAATTGATTGGAATTGTATTTTTTTTTATTTTTATTATCAGTGAAATCGCTAAAATCGTCCATACTGACAAAAATCTGTCAACACCACATTTATTCTCTTTATTAAAAAAATCTTTCAAAAATAAATATTTTTCTGAAACTTTCTTTGAGAAAGAGTAACTGATTTAAAGTTTAAATAATCTGAATCTAAACCCTAACCCGTTCTTTTGAACAGGAGTAAAGGTTTATCCCTTTTTCTGTTTAGGATTGCTATACTCTTAGTCTTAAAACATTTGTTCTTTCCTATGCTAATATAACTCCACACAGTAAGCCTCTACCTTGAGTGGCTATTGGGCGAACATTAAAAAAATTTTACATTAGTAAAAAAAAAAGAAATTAAAAATAAATATTATTTACTTTTAGTTTAAAATATCGCAGAAAAGCATTTTTTTTAACACTGAGGTAAGTGTTTTTATGAGGTGTTGACATATCTATCAATAACCTAATGTCTGTGAGATTTATGTAAGAGGGAAATACTTGCAGTAAAATTACATGACAAATACAACGGTAATTTTTTAAATATCCAGTAATTTTAAATATTTTAAACATTCTAATATTTTATTGAATTTTAGATATTTACTTATGAAGATGTTTGTTGAGGAAATGTTATGGAATTACCAGTAAATTTTAAATTTACTATAGTTACCAATTGTATTTTCTGATAATGTCATGTATAGATGTCTGTATTTACAAAAATCGGCATGTTTATACATCAAAAAAAAAAAAATTCAAAATTATGTTTAAAATACTGGGGGGTCTCTGAATTATAATTTTTTTTCTTTTATGATTAGTGAATATAGTTTTTATTTAATAACAATATCAATTTTCCACTATAAATTAGTACAGAATTTTAAAAGATTTAAAACTTTATAAATTATTCTAATTAAAATTTTTAAAAAAATGAAAACAATTCTTATAAAAAATCATTATTCATCAAAAATTTGTTTCTTTTCTTAGGACAATAATATATTTTATTCGTAAAACAAAAGCATTTCTAATTCAATAATGTCTCAGTTTTATTGAATTTTTTTATTCTACGATTCAGAACAGATTTTCTCTAACTGGGTGTCCTGTTTGACCCCAAAATTTGATGATTTAAATTCTTCTAGGACTTGCCCACATAACTAATATAAACATCACTACAAAAAAGAATTTCTCAATTTCATAAAAATGAAATAATGAGGGGGTAATAAAGGTTAAAAATAATATATATATATATATATATATATATATATATATATATATATATATATAAAGGTTTTCTAAAAACAAAACAATTAAAAAATAATTTAATTCATTTGTGAATAAGTCCTGAAAGATCTATTAAAATCTGACAATTATTTGATTTTTGCAAGAATTTACAAATCAATGTGTTTTTTACTGCAAAAAAAACACTCGAATTTCCCATACTAATTTATGGTCTCCTGTTGATGCTAGAGAAACAAAATAAGTAACCACAATCTTCAAGGTGTTCTAAAAAAGGTTAAAAAAAACATTTTTTATCAAAAAATCTTTTGACCTTTCCTCTTAATAATAACAAAGATTTTGATGATAAAACTTTGTTTTTATTAAGTTTGGGACATTTTTCTTCATCAAGTCGGCTCTTTTCTTTTTTTTTCTTTTTTGGTGAATCTTTATTGCTTGCTGTTGACATGATCAAGTAGTTAAAAAAAAAAATTAAACTTTTTCATGATTTTTTTTTTTTTTTTTTTTTTTTTTTTCAGGCTTTAAAATGGCTGCTGCAAAGAAAAAGAAGAATGTCCCAACAAAAATATCGAAAAATAAAATGTTTAAGAAAAAGACAAAGTCATTTCCTAAAAAGAGGAAAGAAGATTCTGGAGTTAAAGAATCATTGCCTGATGGTAGCCAAGTTGAAGTTTTTGACATTGCTTCTACATGTAATCAAGATAGTTTCAGGAAGCACAAAAGAGTTCCAATGAAAGACAAGGAAGGGAAATTTAAAGCTTTACGAGCGGTAAAATTTACATTTTTCTTTGATGCTACAATTGTTTGTGTTTGTTTTTTTTTTTTTTGTTTTTTTTTTCCCAGTATGCATTCTTCAATTTTGTCCATGTTTATGAGAAACTTGTGTATGATTATGCAATTGTCTTTACTCAATTGTTCAGAGAAAATGTCCAATTTATGGATTTAATAATATGCTGTAGCTATCAAAGATTTTTCCACAGAGCACCCTGCCTCGATATTTGAGGTTAAATTATTGTTTAGTTTTTCACAAGACTATTGATTTTGATGGAAAAATTTTTTTGTTGAAATTTTTATTTCGGATAATACAGATAATTTATTAAGCTAATTAACATTTAACATGGAAGATAAAAAGACATGACAAAAAGTATAAAATGTAACCAGAATGAATGCACTTAATTGTAAGTGTTCAAAAACAGCATCTTAGGATGGTAGAAGTCTTTATTTGGTTTGTTAAATCACTTTCTGACTTCTAGTGTTTTTGTTTTTTTTTAATTGCAAATTCAAATAGTTTGATCTTTTAGAATCTGAATATACTACACTATTGAATGTGCTTAAATGTTCATTTGTGTCTAATATTTTGAGCCTCTGTTTCTGATGAGAAACCAAAAAATTTTTTTTTCTAAAATTTAATTTTTTCAGAAAAACGAATCCGTTCCTGATAGAAAACTAGTGGATGAAAAAGTTATTCAGCGTTATAAACGTGGGAAAAGAGTAAAATTAGTAAGTATTTGATTTTACTGGATTTGTTTTTATAAAAAATAAAAATTATTTTTCTGTGCTCATTAATTTACCCAAGTATTTTGAACTATTACATACTAATTTATACACATTGTTATCCTTTATATTTATGATGTTTTAGCCATCGCATTCTCTAACTTTCTTCAGTTGCTTGGTATATTTAGTAAGATTCAGAGAATTTTGAATCAAACCTCTTATTCACTCAGTAGGAACAAACTTATTCTATTGCTCTCTGTTTCAAGGGACATAACTCATAATATTTAATTCTTAGGCAATATTTGATATTTTGAGCTCTTGGCTAATGTTAGAATTAACTAATTTTACCTGGTTAAATGCAGCTAGTATGTATTGAAAATGATTGGCAGCTCTGGAACAATCCGAATCTTAATCTTGCCTATTGATCAACTGGTAACGTTCAATATAAAATGGGCAGTGTGTGATTTGCAGTGTAGCAGTTAGATGTGCTACTTATCACTGTTATTGTGAATGAATGCATTGGATTACAATTGCCTGGAATTATAAAAAATAATTTTGAATATCCTACAGAGTTTCAGGAAGCTAACTGCAAACATTTTGGGAATCACTGTATTTAGATGTTTGCTTACATCTACCTACCTACAGTATATATAATGCTTTCTACATTTCCCCAAAAATACATTGACTATCCAAAGATCTATTAATGATTAGTATGTATAAAGGTTGGTCGAAAAGTAAACAGATTTAATAGTCAAAGCATGCAGAGCAGACTGAACTGAGCACTGAAGTCTTAGGAATTTAAATCTGATTTTCAAACAATCTTCTTACTTTACAATCTCATGGTATTCCACATTTGAATTTTGACTACTCGATACAAGCTTTGTGCGGAAGTTGATCTTTCACCTTTTGTCATCATTGGAGACTTGCTGAGCTGAATGCTTCCTTTATGGGCCCAAACAAATGAAAGACTGATTATCTGGTGGCATTTGTCAGCATTCTGAGAACCCACTTTGAGTGGCCAAGAGGCTATACTAAATGATAGGCATTACCATGGCTTTTACAGAATATTGATTCTTCTGTTAGCATCTGAGATTATCAACTTGTATGGCCTTATCTTCATTCACAGTAGCAACTGGCCTTAATACTAATCAATATTAAGCCACAAACAGCTTTTTACCTTTCATTGTCAAATGTAAGAGTTTTAGAGTTGTGCAAAGAATAAGGCAGACGTTTTTTCACAAGGAAGTTTTGTTTTTCATGAAGTTGTTAAACATGAGGGCTGATTTTACAGCAGGATTTGTAAGTGGAGAGACCATTATTTCAAAATGTAAATTAAAAATTTTATTGTATGCTTAAAATGATGGTGAACCATTAAATTTTCAACAAATTCTTAATGTCTACTTTTTCAGCAAAATATGAAGACTAGATTCCACAAATCCTATTACAAAAAAAAGGAAAAACTTTTGGATTTTGCTGCTGAACAGTCAGCGCGATCTGAGCTACTCCTGCAAGAAGAAACCGGGTCAGTAATACATTATCTTGCAGAAACATTGATTTTTTTATTAAGTTGGGTATGTTATCTTCTAGCAAATGAAATGTCATATTCATGACCATTCATGATTTGGGGCTATCAAGATGGATTTAAGTAGACATTTTAAAAGATTATATTCTCTCATTTTGTTTTATTAAATTCCATTATTTTCTATAAAACTTAGTTTAGTTCAATTGATCATAAGACTAATTTTAAGTTTGACATAAATTTCAAACATTTATTAGAGTCTCCAAGTTTTTAAAATTAAGTATCAGATTTTCATATATTTTTATTAATTTTTACTTTCTCCATCTCCTACTGGGTACAAAACATCCTCCTTTTTTCCCCAACAAGTAAATATTTCAATCAATTTCTGTCTGATTGATTCCTTTTCTTTTACAGTTATATGGACGTCTCTCTAGTTTCTCAACAGAAGATTGCATCAGAAGTAGATATAACAAGTGCCACAAAGGTATGTAGAAAAAAACATATATATATAAATTGATGTTTGATACTTGATGTATATATAAGTTTGTATAATTTTAGTGATGTTCTTTTCATAAAAAACACTTTTATCAAGTGTCTCAGTTATTTTATTTATTTTTTCAAATAAATCCATTTTATATTTTAAGGGAACAGATTTATGGATTTTTATTCCTGCCTTGTATTGGCTGAGCTTTAGCCTAAATAATAAAAAAGCACTATTGATTTTGATCCAATTATTATTATCTAATGAAAACACTGCTTTGAATGGATAATAGTGGGAAGAGTGGGCTTTTACAATTCTTTGGCAAGAGGAGTCAAGATAGAAGATCTTTTGTATTTAATAATAAGTTTTCTACAGCTTTCCAATGAGTAATATTAGTTTAGTAATTTCTTTTTCACTACTGTACAAATTGATTAAAACCAAATTTAGTTCCTGCACGAAAAATAAAGCATATTGACACTTTCCACAGACTTTTTAATAATAGGTCATTTTACTAAATCCTGCTAACCAGCAAGTCCAACTCTCTCTAGATTTCATCCTTTCTCCCCTTCTCTTTTACTTGCGTATATATAGAGAGAAGGGAGTAAAAGGATGAAATTCCTTTTACCTGGTTTTCTTATCTTCTGCCTTTCACACAATCTTATTTTTCTTGCTTTCTCCTCTACCTTGCTCTTCTCAATGCCTTTCTGTTTAAAAAGGTTTCAAGGTCAGAAAGTGTAATTAATTCTAGGACAGAAAAGCCATATACTACACTCTGATCCTTTGTAGAAACATCCAGACAAACAGAATAATAGCCTAGATTGTCATTTCTTTCTGAAAATATCACTTGTTCATTGTGAATAATTCTTTTGCATTTAAAGATGCAAGTTAAGCAATTTTGGGCCAGACATTGCAAATTGATGATTCACTTTATTTGATTATTAAAGAAAAAAACATAATCTGATTAAAATAGAAAACTGTTGTTAAACTTTCTGCAATACAAGAGTAACTGGTAACTACTTTTTTGCCATCCAACACTTCATGAAGCAGTAAATCAATGTTTGTTAAAATATACTCTCCAATCAACTAATTAGGAATAAAACCTTCAGCATAGCTTAAAACACAACAGATTGTTGTGACATTTTATACACTATAAAATTGACTAAGTCTGACAATTATTTGAATATATTTTATTGTTATACGTTATTTATATATACACAAATATTAAGGTAAATGTTCTGTTTATAATAAAGGCTGGTAAATGTTGTTAATACTGTTTATTATAAACAGAGCATTTATTTAAATATTTGTGTCTACATAAATAACGTATAACAATAAAATGAAGTTCATAAACTATGAAATAAGCTTCTTCAAGGGAAGCCAAAATGATGTAGAATGAACTTCTTTAGATCTTTATAAAGCTTCTTCTTTTTTTTTTTTTTTTTTTTTAAATAATTCATGGGATTTGTGGAATATCTGGTGAGACACGGGAAACTTTAAGTAACTTATCATTTGAACAGTTTAATCAATTTGTTAAATTTCATCAAACATTTAGGTAGGACCTCCATATTTTTTAGATGTTTTTTAATTTTTTGTTTGTCAGAAAACTAAATCTTGAAAAGAATTGTTTTCATTTTCTCTTTCTCTTTCCTTTTAAGTTTTTTGAGTTAAACCTTGAGTTTGGCCCTTACAAGACTGATTACACAAGAAATGGCCAGTAAGTAGTTTTTCTCTTCTCATAAACCAATCTATTATATAATGAAGCCTATTTTTCCTACTGTTTTAAGTGCAGTAGGGAGGTATGGAATTTAGTGAGTTTGATCCACACTGGGTCCATTCCGTTGTGTCCAACTAAACTTGGTAAATGATGGAATTGAAAATTTTTAAATAAAACAAATTAGCAAATAAATGCTATCAAGAACAAATGTTCTTGGAACTGATATTTTGCGTTTGGGTAAAAAAATCTCTGACTTTTAAATGAAAGTTTATTTAAACGATTTTCAGTTACAAAAGTATATCAAGTATTGAATTTTAATGTTTATTCACTTAAAAGAAAGCCCTGAACTTAATCCTGATTAGACATGACTAATTATAGGAAAAGACTTTTAAAAGATAGTGTTATCTAGTGCTAATAAACCCAACCAGTGTTAAAAGAATAAATGACAAACCAGGAAAAGTAAGTGATTTCTATTTATATATATATATATATATATATATATATATATATATATATATATATATATATAATATATGGGGAAAAGTCTGAAAATTATTTTTTAAAATTTTTTCTTTTTTTATATGTTCTTTTTATAGATATAAATATTTAAGTAAATGCTCAGTTTATAATAAACAGTATTAACAACATTTACTGGCCTGAATGTCCAAGAAATTTTTATAGAAAATATGCGTCCTCCGACAGGAATCGAACGTGTATCCTATACGGAACCGTCATATAGCCTGATGTGCCTTAACCAATTGGGCCACAGAGGAGCGTTCGGTTAGCAAGGTCAATTTTACTGTTTTTAAACACAATTCTCTATGATTTTCTCTCATACATTCATATATGCTCAATATCCATGGCCCAATCGGTTAAGGCACATCAAGCTATATGACAATTCCTGTTGGAGGATGCATATTTTCTATGAAAATTTCTCGGACATTCAGGCAGGTAAATGTTGTTAATACTGTTTATTATAAACAGAGCATTTACTTAAATATTTGTATCTATAAAAAAGAACATATAAACATAAAAAAATGTCTTTTTTATATATATATATATATATATATATATATATATATATGAAAAATAATACACATTAAGACTTTCATTGTCTAATTCTCAATTTTTAAAATTTTTTTTCTTGCAGATTTCTTCTTCTTGGAGGCAAAAAGGGCCATGTTGCTGCTTTAGAATGGCAGACAAAGAAATTACTCAGTGAGTTTAATGTTATGGAAACCATAACTGATATCCAGTAAGTTTATAATTATATTTTCATTTTTATATATATATATATATATATATATATATATATATATATGATCTTTAAAAAAGGGATCATATTTTATTCATAAAAGGATACAAAAGTATTGCTGTGGTTAAAATTTTATGTACCTTTCATTCGACACATCTTCAGAAAAAAAAATATCGCTGGCAAGTAAGAGTAAGTGGTTGAAAGAAAAAAATTATTTTCAACAACTGGTGTTAAAATATACTAAAACTAGGGGAACAAAAAAAAAAAGACACCATTTTCCGAGTTAGTCATTGAATTGGCTTCTGGCTCCCCGAATAAAGCCATCTTGTGCTTTAATTCTCTCTGTCTAAACAGGGCAGATTGTTGTACATTAATAACAACCAACTCCAAGATGTCTAAGTGTAGACTGATCTGTGCAAGACAGAGAAAAACTCAGAGTATATATATATATATATATATATATATATATATATATATATATATATATATATATAATCACTTTAAATGTTATTTTTACTGGATACTTGTATTTGAAATGATGCTCTGTTTATTTATTAAACAGAATTTATTTTTGTCTATCAGCATGAATATTCAAGCAATCTTATTAAAGAAAAATGTGCTCCCTCTGGCAGGATTTGAACCTACATTCCTCTGGGCAGAGGTACTTATCATTAAATCCAATACGCTCTGACCAACTAGGCTACAGAGAACCAATTAGTCAGGCAAATTGAATCTTTAAGTGCAAAATTCTTTCGTCATGAATCTCCTGAAATTTTTCATATCTGCAGAGCTTTGTATCTGAACATAAACAAAGGAAATTTTAGGGGAAGTAATTGATTTTTCATTAATCTGACAGATTGTTTATCACTTTAAACATTATTTTTAGTAGATACTTGTATTGAGTAGTCACTCCATTTATTTATTAAACAGTATATTTATTTTTATCTATATAAATAAGTAAATGTACTGTCTAATAAATAAAGGAAGCGTCTACTCAAATAAGAGTATCCACCAAAAATTGAATATCATAAAAAATCTCAGATTAATAAAAAAATTCATTACTTTCTCTATATATATATATATATATATATATATATATATATATATATATATATATATTATTTCATAATTAGTAGGGATAATGATAATGCTAAAGAGGATATAAATCCAAAGAGAGCTCAATGTAAGAACAGAGCAGATATAATAATGATGAAAGTGGAGACTTTTGAAATCCATGGTAATAATTTATTTCGTGGGAACAATCAGATCCCGTCACTTCAGACCAAACAATTTTACAGCAATAGATGAATCTTAAATTCATCCAGGCACAAGCAAGAAAAAAAAAATTTTTTTCAAATTATGTTTGAAAAAAATTTTTTTTCTTGCTTGAGGGGAAGATATAGATTTTTCTCTCTCTCTCTTTCCCTTCCCCCATATTAAAACCTTATTTTAAAATCTATATCTTCCCCTCTTATACTTGAAAAAAAATTTTTTTCTCTTGTGCCTGGATAAATTTAAAATTCCTCTATTGTTGTAAAATTGTTTGTTCTGAAGAGATGGAATCTGATTGATTCCGCAAAATAAATTATTACCATGGATTTCTAAAGTCTCCACTGTCATCATTATATAATAATCTCATTTTAAATATTATTTTTTTTAATGGATACCCATATTTCATTAGACACTATTTATTTTAAACCACATTTTATTTTGTCTACTGGCCTTGAATATTCAAGAAATATTAAAGAAAAATGTGCACTTCTTTTAACAAGATTTCTCATATATTCAGGTAGACAAAATAAATTGCTATTTAAAGTAAATGGAGTGTCTACTCAGATATGGGTATCCATTAAAAAATAATATTCAAAATGATAAAAATGTCAGATTAATAAATAAAAATCCATTACTTCTTCACACACACACACACACACACACACACACACACACACACCTCTCATCAACAGACTAATGGGGAGGGAGGATTAAAGCCAATTGTCCGTAGATGGGAAGGGATTATTTTTGAGTTATAAAAAAACTATAGTAACTACCAGTAGTTATGATCATAACGTAAATACTATAAACATATATATATAGGTACCTCCACGAGATCGCTAAAAAAGAGCATAGCATGATGAAAAAGACGCCAAACTTGATGAAAACAAAATTTTATCATCTAAATGTTTGTTATTATTAAGAAGAAAGGTCAAAGTATTTTTGGTATTTTTTTTCCATTTTTAATCATTCCTAGCATGTCCGAAATTTTCGTTAAAAATCTAGTTTTTTTTTTTTTTTGAGTCAGCAAAATTGACCATTTTTTTTTCCATTTTAAAAAAAACTGGAAATCTCACTTTGAAATTTTTTTTAAATATCAATTATCATTTTTTCAAAACTTATTTTAAGAAAATCAGAAATTATAATGTTTATTTAAAATATTTTGAACCAAACTTAACTTGGCTTTTGTGCCAAAAAGATGTAATTTGAAAATAAAACAAAGCAGGTCATAAACTTTTGCGTCTCTTGACATGTGATGAATGATATATTTACGAATTCCATGAGGCTAATTTGTTCTACTGAAGGAGAAAAGTGAAATAATTTACATTTACGTGAACAAATTATTTACCCCGTTATTTTTAACGAAAACTTTCAGCGGTCTAAAATTTTTTTTTTTTTTTTTTTTTTGTACTTAGCTTTCACCTTTACGTTTATGATGCTTTATGGGAAATATATTGTAAAGAAATTAAAATAAAACTGTTAAGAGTGACATTAAATTTCATATTTCTTAAGAAAGGTATCTAATTAATTTATAGGTACCTTTCTTATGAAATTTTATCAGAATTGTACATAAAATACTATAATTTTATGTACATTTATTACATTCTACTGTTATTTGTATTTGCATTCATTTTATTATTAATTTTGATATTTCATTTATGGAAAAATGTCGTAACTGAGATTAATATAAAAATAAGATCATATAAATTTCATAAGATGATACTGATACTTGTAGGTACCCTTCTCAGTTGAAATTGAAAAATCAAATTAACTTCTCCACACGTGTTTCATAAAAAGTAAAGGCCTTAACAGCGGAGAACAATGCTTAACTCAAATAACGCCAACTTAATTATATTCTGGTTGGTCTTTCCGTATTTTATAATTACAGCTCGATTATAAGCACAAAATTACATTTCTTAATTACTGGGGATCTTCTGATTAGTCAAAATGATACAATTTACAACGCGCTAAAAAAAAGTTCTATCTGATAAGGACACTTATGAAAGCCGATGCGGCTTTTAACTAATTTTATAATATTTTTATAATATTTTTTTAACTAATTTTATAATATTAACTAATTTATATATATATATTTTAACTAATTTTATAAATGTAAAATCTATTATAATTAATGAAATAACAAATAATTGTATTAAAAATTCATTTTTCATCGAAAAAAATTTTTTTGCTTTCAGAAAATATTGTCCATATTCATAAAAACAACTAAAAGCAAATAAAAGCATTTGAAATTAAATAATATCTTTGTTTTATTGAGTTTTGTATGTTACAATTCAGAGCTGATTTTCAGGTACTGCGTATCCAATTAAAAAAAAAAAAAAACATGATTTGCATTCCTCAAAGCCCTGTGCTTTTAATTATTGTAATCACTAAAACTGATGCGATTGAATTTCTAGCATTTTCATAAAATTAGTTATGGGGGGTAATAAATATTTTAAAAAAATATTTCTACCATGACTTTCATAAAAAAAAACATATTTATAATAATTTCGATCATCTGTGAATAGTTCCTGAAAGTTTCATTAACATCCGATAATTATTTCTATTTTTGCACGATTTTTCAAATTAATGTGTGTCATACCAAAAAAAACGTGCTAAAAATTGTCTGTTATTTACTAGTTCGCTGATACAAATAGAAAAAAGGTTTTTTTAATCAAAATTTAGAATGTTCTAAAAAGAAAGAAAATTTTAAAAAAATAATTAAAAAAAACTTTGGTCTTTCCTCTTAATAATAACATAAGCATTTAGACAATAAAATTTTGTTTTCGGCAAGGTTGGCGTCTTTTTCATCAAGTTATGCTCTTTTTTTAGCGATTTCGTGGAGGTACCTATATATATATATATATAATGTGCTTAATATATTAATCAAAATAACAAAAATAATAGATTTCTCACAGGTACTTTCTCATGCACGTACAATGTATCATACTTTATATACTGTACACTTGACTTTGTTTACAATTGAAAAACCCGCCACCACTGCAGGCAAGTTGTCACTTTGAGAACTTGTACAACTCGTTCTGCTAAGCTTGCAAATTTTGAAATACATCGCTGATGATTTGTTTTTTTTTTTTTTTTTTTTTTTTTTTGCCTGCAAATTTTGTCCATAGATAACAAGTTTGTTTGTATGTATGTATATATATATATATATATATATATATATATATATATATATAATCTCAAAATAAGAGAAAGAACAGATGGAGTAAAAATCCACTGTGTTTGTATAGCATTTACTTTTAAAAAAATGCTCAATACAGTGTCATAGAAATACAATCATAGTATTGAAACATGAAAGCTTTTGTATAATAAAAATATAACAATTATTATATTTTTATTATACAAAAGCTTTCATGTTTCAATACTATGATTGTATTTCTTCAGGTGCCTCTTTTTTTTCCCTCTTTATTGCTTTACCATTTGTTTAATTAATATTTCCCAATGGATTTCAGGTGGTTGCATCAAGAGACAATGTTTGCTGTGGGACAAAAACAATGGACATACATCTATGACAACCAAGGCATTGAGCTTCATTGTTTAAAAATTCTGAACCACACAACCAAAATGGAGTATCTGCCATATCACTTTTTGCTTGTTGCTGGTGTGAGTTTTTAAATTATTCACATGAATTGCTTTTTTTTTTTTTTTTTTTTTTTTGTCATTGTACAAGGTATTCAAACTAATATTCTCATCATTGTTTGGTTTTTTTGTCTTTACCTACCAAGCTTAATCTGGCATAAGACAATGATAGTGGAGCAGCCAGGAAGGATAATATTTGCTACGTTAAATACATATATTAGGTAGATGATAGGTGCCCTCCATCTTTATAAAGATGAAAAAAAAACTCACCTAAACAGTTTCAGAACTAATGGTAATATATCATGGAGTCTGTAGTGAGTTGATCCCCAAGGAGGCTTGAGATCTATAAATATGAGTGCAGTATGTTGTTTGTGAATCCACTAAAGCCACCAGAGAGAAGGGATTAGTTAATCTGCTATAACAGCTAGAAAGAAAATATTTACTAAATGTGAGCAGAACCAAAATGCTGGAAGAGAGAATTGTATTAGCAGTTGTAATTGAACAAGGCCACCACATTATTTGCCCAGACTTTAAAAAAAGAGGCAAAATGAGCAGACATACACTTACAACTGTTGCTCTATTATCCTCATAACTGTGAACAAAAAATGGGGGTGGATGCTAGATTTAAAACCCCATGTAAACAACAACTGAAAATCTTAAGGTTTTCCAGTTTTCTTCAAGACTTGGTTTGCTCTTAGAAATTCATCAACTCCAGTTTTGTGTAACACATGGCTGATTTGGGCTTAGACTATTTCAATCTTGAGCTTGGGATGACTTAGAAATTTTCCAAACACATGGGTGGAGAAGTTTCCATTGTCAAATCGGTAACCTTAACACTAGTCCATTTATATCACATATAATGTTACATTTGGTTGTCATGATTAGATTAGTCTCAGCCACAGAGTTACAAATGACTCCTCAAAAATTGAAACAGTCTTTTTATTTTATAAAATTCATTTTGTTAAATTTTAAAGTATTTTGCTAATTAGATTAGGTTTACAGGACAGGTACAATTTACTGTGGCCGTGTTTGTAACCAAATGGATTAAATTTATAATTTATCTGATAAGGAAACTTTGAGATTCTGGACCTGTTTTAGTTCTTCAGCTTGCATATTTTAGCAATTACGTCATTTACAAGTTGGGATTACTAAGGAGCCACTTTCTATTCATAGAATTCAAAACACTTCTGATTTTGAATTTAATTTTTTTTTTCTTTCTTCTCAACTGGTTACCAACTATATTAAATCAATAACTACAAGAAGAGAACAATTCATATTGAATTAGCTTAGTGCGCAAAGTGAACATGGACTAACTACCTCAGCTGGAATTTGAATTTCATTCACCAAATTTATTTTTCATGCTGTTAGGCCATCCATATCCCAAACAATAAACTGATTAAAAAGCATTAAAAAAAAGACCACAAAAATAGACAAAGGAACTGAGTAAATGTCTGATAATAAAATAGTTAATCTCAGAATTGAATAAGAATGACAAAAAAGACAAGATGAAAACGCATGTAAAATCAAGACCACTTCCCTGAAGGAAGGACTTCTAAAGTATTGAATTTTATCTAAATACCCAGTTTAACAAAGGATGTGAGTGATGAAAAGCAATGAAATTGATATCAAGAAAACTAGTCAAAAACTAGGTAATTGTATATTTTCAGAGGTTTTTTTTTTTTTTTCTCATTGCAGAATGCCGAAGGGTTTCTCACCTATTTAGATACATCTATTGGAAAGAAAATTGTCAGTTTACGTACACTTCAAGGAAGCTTGAATGTCATGTGTCAGAATCCATCCAATGCCATCATACACTTAGGACATCATAATGGTAAGTCTCTAATCTATTATTTTTATTGTAAAACTCTATATTTTTGGATATGTTGAAAACTAAGACAATGGTTTGTCTTTTAATCGGTTTTTACTAAATGTGATGTCATGGCCTCTACAATGGCATGCCATCTTTTATTTGTTTGTCATATCATAAGTATGTAGTGGAGATATATATATGTGTGTGTGTGTGTGTGTGTGATAAAAAAAAAATAGTTTTAGGACATGCTGTATTTATAGGTAAAAGTGCTCAATGTTGGGGACAGAGCATATGTAAATATAAAAGTGGAAACTTAGGCCAACATTGAGTGGTATGTTTAAATGCAATCTTCAGGCCATGTGTGTTGAGTGGGGGCTCAACTATATATGATAGTCAATGGAGCATTATGAATAGCATGGTCAGGTATTTCTGCTGTATTGTATTATCCCAACAGTTATTGGGTAGGTAGCAATAGTTATATTTCAAATTGTTCTAAAGGTTGTTTAGTAAAAATAATTGTCTCCAAATGTGTTTATTTGTAGCTATTGTATCAGGTTGTTTGCTACCTTTTTAACTCTTTATTTATTATTGATTACTTTGAGTATTTTGTTATTTATTCATTAATTATTTGTTTTTCATTATTAAATTTACTTGTATTTATGCGTGTATTCATAGTTTGTTTTGTTTATTAATTTGTTAATTTATTTTGTTTATCTTATTTATTTTTTGTCCCTAAACTCTCTTGTTCTCTTTCATCTCTAAACTCTCTCGTCCTTTTTTTCTTGTCTCTAAACTCTCTCGTCCTTTTTTTCTTGTCTCTAAACTCTCTCGTCCTTTTTTTCTTGTCTCTAAACTCTCTCGTCCTTTTTTTCTTGTCTCTAAACTCTCTCGTCCTTTTTTTAAATTGTTTTTTAAGATGAGCTTTCATTATGTTCTTTCTTTCTATAAATCGATTACTAAATAATCTTGTAACATCATAGTGTCCCTTATACTCTTTCCTTAATAAACATTAAAAAACAAATCAAATCTTTTCAATATCACAATTTAACTTTTGTATTTTGGTTGTGATTTATCCACCAGCTGCTTTGACTCTCATGAATTTTGTTTCAACCATATTTGTTTCAGAGTTAATGTATGACATCTATCCTAGCCGTTCCATATTCCAGTTTTATCCCCTTGGCTGATCGTAGAGTTGATCACTTCGGCCCAAGTCTTGTCTCGTCCCACATTGTGTTGATTGATCGCAAGACTGGCTTGGTCTGAATGGTCAACTGGAATCGATGACTTGGTTTGATCCAGTCAGGGTAGTCACACAAAAGAAAAAAATAAATTGGATAGAAGAAAAAAAAAAGTATTTATGTACACTTCCTTGGTACAAAGTTGATGGTACAGTTATTGATGGTTTAAGCAGGACTATATTCTCCATGCAATAACCCATGACCCTTCCTGATTATTGCGACATACTGTCGTTAGAATTTTGGAACAAGGCTTTAAGTTGGAGGCTGTTTCTTCAGGTTGGCAAGTCATATCAGATTAGGTACTGTGCTCTCTCTGCCATAGTCTCTTGGCATTCTGTTTTTATGGACCCCTGCTCAAGTGTTGGGCATGATGTGTTCTGGGAATGCCCGCATTCCCCAAACAACCAAGGGGCATGGAAAGTCTTCCACCTGAGCCCTCTCCCCCTTGATCACTTGACAAAACCCATCCCCTAAGCTAGGCGTAGTCTATAGGAAAATCCAAGATGGCAGTTGAATGAAATATACGGCAAAAATCCCATTCGTTAGTAATATTTTAAACCCCTCATAGAATGTAAAGTTCTCAAAGCAAACCTGTGCCAAACTGTTTTCTTGAATCCCTGATAACGTGACTGTCCAAAAATGACAACATCAAGATGAAATAATGGAAACTGACTGTGGAAAACACAATTATGTGCAACAAGTCTTTGATCAATCAGTTAACTTCTAGATGTTTTTGGGCCATGTTATAGAATCCAGATGGCTATTGTTTGCACGTGGAATTATTCACTGGTAATTAAACTTTGATTTGGCTGTGAAAAATGTCACTCAGGGGTTAGCATTAAAAAAATTATAGCCAACTTTCTGAGAAAAATCTTTTTTTTTTTTTTTTTAATGAAAAAAATATCTTTTTTTCACTTCAAAACAATTTTTTTCAAACTTCAATCCTTTCTCTTTAATTTGGTGTAAACATCATTGAATAAAATGAACTGCTACATGACCTGACGATGGGAAATACGAAAGACATGTGGCAAAAAAAACAATGTCATCTGCTAAGTGTTGTTGTCATCACCTGGGTCACAAGGTGTTAAAAAACAAAACAAACACATCAAGCCATTGTTCAAACATAGGTTATTTTTATTTATTTATTTATTTTATTTTTTTCCAAACCTATCAAGGCCTTTTTACCAATATTTCAACTTTTTTTTTCACTCTTTGCTCTTATCTTGTCAGTGGTGGGATTTACAAGTTGACAATGATAGCTTGTTCTAACATTTATTGCTGACTGGCCTTTGACCCAGACATGTCAAAGTCAATTTGGCTTAATTTTCTTTATTGCTGCTATTTTTTTTTTTTTTTTTTAAATCACTCTTGGTATTTAGGAATTGAGGATAAATCTTTCACCTTTCCCTAAAGATTTCTGTGTCAATTTTTTTTTAACCCCCAGTGGCTAAAATTACCAACGAACTTTGTCACATTTTGACCCCCTAGGAATGTTGTTTTCTTTCAAACTCTCAATTTTATACCTGAAATAGTTTGATTATGATTCCCCCCCCCCAATGGTTAATTTCCCATTATTGGGGAAATTTTTGTTTAGAACTAGAAAAAATGCAAAATTCACTATTTTTTCATATTTTACCCCCTGAAAAAGTCTTTGATTAATTTTACTTTTAAATGAAAGAACATAATTTGCTTTCAGAAAATACCTTGTTTCATGGGGTTCAGATCAAAAGTTTTCTTAATATTTTGTTCGGATGATGATAAAACAGTCATTTTTCAATATTTTACACCTATAAAAATACACCTATGTAAATAATTTTTTTTTTTTTTTTTTTTTTTTTTTTTGAAAATAAGCTGTGACAAAATGACTTTTGCCATTTTTGTGATGATTTTTACTTGGGATAAAAAATTTTTACCATGGTAAACATGAATTGACTTTATTTAAGTTTAGAGGGTGGGAGGCTATAGGAGCCACCCCCCCCCCCTTAAACAGCTATGTCAGTTTACTAGCACCTTTCCAATAATGTCACAAATGTAAAGAATAAAAAAAAAAAAAATAAAGAAGGGGAAGGTATTATTTTATCAACATGCACTCAAATAACCAAGAACATTGGCCTGAATATTGTCAAGAGGCTAATGTTTAGCAAGATGCTATAGGCACCTCATACTTTTGCCTAAGGTAACTCAATAATAATAATACGTTTAAATGGTTGTGATCGTGAGGAATTTTTCTGCACCAGATATGGTAATGAACTATTTGATTGTCAACACTAAGCTCCTTTCAGGATTTCATTTTACTTTAGTTTTGCATTTCATTTCATATGAAAGGGATTATGACAAATGAAACAATTTACATAATTTTTATTTATTTACTTTATTTAATTTCAAATCATATTCATTTTTTTTGTTTACTTTTCAGGAACAGTTACATTATGGTCCCCCAATGTTAAATCTCATCTTGTCAAAGTCCTTTGTCATCGAAGTAATGTCCGAGCAGTAGCTGTTGATTCTCAAGGACAGTAAGTAAAAGATATTTTACATTCTTTCATGATTTTGTGTATGTTTTGTTATTTACAATGGAAATTATAAATTTTAAAAACCTGGTTGATATATTTTGCTTTAGAAAAAAAAAATTCACAAAACATGGGTAGTTGAGACATTTAAAATTGTAGGATACTTACTGGACAATTGAGGAAATCAAATCTTTTTTTTTCTAATTTTATACATTATCAATTTCCTTTGATTGTTGTCTTGACATGTTAAAATATTTGAAGGCTTTCCAGAAGGTGGATTGCTATAAGAATTCTATATTTAGTCCTGGACTTACAAAACAAAAAGGAACACTGACCTTGATATTAAATAACCCAACCATGTTTGACATGTCATGAAATCAATCTGACCAAATTTTGTCATTTATAACTTTGAGAGTTGTCATTAACATATCTAATAACAGCAAAAATACAACAAAGAAACTAGTGTCCAAATGATGTTAGATAAAATTTTGTCATTCCAAGTTACCATAGTTATAGAGATTTTTTTTTTTTTTTTTTTATTGCCATGTCCCTTCAGAAAAGATTCTTCTTTTTCTTTTTGATATCAGTGAGTTGCTTATAACTCTTGAGAAATATGGTTTCCTGTTATCTTCTTCAGGGTTGTGAATTTGGAGTAGCCATTTCAGACTAGTTGCTATCCACAGCTAGAGAGCTCGGTATACTATTTAACCCATAGCCTAGGAGAGAAAGACATGGAGTTACACATTTGTATGAAAGTGAATGGTATATGATATGTAATTTGTGTATGCGTATCTTGTTTAAAATTTGTTATATTTATGAGGAAAGTGTATTCAATATTGGTGACAATGCATTTATAGGGAATTATTGCAAATGTCTAAAGTGTCCAAAAGTGACAATATGGACAGATTTTGCACTCGTTCATTCCCACCAAATAAAAAAAAAAAAAATGTAGCAATGCTGGAAAAACTAAATAAAAAAAAAATAAAAAAATTAATGAAATTTTCCTTGTCTACCTTATTAAACAAAAGATATATACCCCCCCCCCCACAAAAATATGATGATTGCCAACCATCTCTTCTTACTTTAAAAATGAAGATTTGTTTGGTCAGTAATTCGAAAATATGCTTTTAAGTAGGCTTTGATTTAAGGGGGTCGTCAGTGATGTTTTGACTTGGTTCATCAGGGAGTTTTGAGTCTTTCAACATCATACTCCCCATCACCAAATCGACCCAATCAGGGGAGATCAACCCCTGATCCCCCTTCTGTTTAAATGCTAACAACTACTCTGGCCTTTTTAAAGAATAAGAGGAAGAAAGACCACATATTACGCACATCCGATTGGATGTTTGTAACAACCAATCTGCGGACTAATTTTTAAATGGCCCGCGGTGGGGACTGGCTTCTTTTTTTATTTTGGTGGATTGCAGTTTCGATGGATAACCGAGGAGGTAATCTTTTCCTTCCGCTCCTCATATCCAAATTTCCCTGCTGCGTAACTAGTGATAATTTTTGACATTGTCGCTAGTCGTTTATCCACCGAACCTCTTGATGTTATTTGAATGATCTCGCTGATGTCCACGTCGAAATCATGCCAGGCGTGTTTGTCACTGGCTGGTGGCCATTTTATCTTTCTTCAAAATGGAGTATCAGGCACTGCTTAAACCTCTGCTTGGGGGACTGGGCACTGTGGTGATCTTCTGTGCTATTTAGAACCTCCTGCGTCTCACCAGGGAAAAAATCCATATGCAGGAATTTTTCCTGGTGAGACGCAAGAGGTGCAATAAACAGTATTGACAACATTGACATAAACAGTATTGACGCAGGAGGTGAATAAACAGTATTGACAACATTTACTGGTCGGAATGTCTGAGAAATCTCAAAGAAAATTATGTGTTCTCTGACAGGAATCAAACCTATATCCTACACGGAACTGTCATATAGCCTGATGTGCTATACCATTTAGCTATAGAAGAAGCAGCTGGTTGACAAGGTTAAATTACTGTTTTTAAACTAAAAACTTCCCATGATTTTCTATGAAATTTCTCGAACATTCAGGCTGGTAAATGTTGTTAATACCGTTTATTATTACTTAAATATTTGTATCTATAAAAATAATGTATAAGTATATATATATATATATATATATATATATATATATATATATATATATATATATATTATAAATTAATTGATTTAAAATGTTTTTTTTCCGCTACACAGTTCCATCCATGTTTCAAAAATAGAAGCTAAAATTTTAATTTAATTTTGCAATTAAATTAAAAGCATTAGTTCCATTTCATCTTCAAGCGAATTTTGGAGTAACTTTTAAAAATTACCGGTTTTAAAGACACAGCTAAAATCACGTTTCCATGGTTACAGAATATTCTACTTAAATTGAACAAGGGATGTCTAGATTTTCCTTATGTCAGTATCATTGTATCAGTTATTAGCTACAATTTGGTAAGGGGTAGGGATGTATTTTACAATGAAACCTGACATCAGTTGAATGGATGTCGTCTGGATTGAAAAAAAAAAAAAAAAAAAATTATTGTTAACGGTAAAAAATTTCAACATCATTTTTTTTTTCTTTTATAAATTTAAAGATTTTTTGTTTTTTTGATCATAATACTTTTTATTTAACTACAATTTGAAATATTTTCCTTTTTATTTTTATATATTCTTTTTTAAGAACAGTTAAATGTATTAGAATCTATTATATTATGTAGGATTATTTTAACATCAAGTTTATGTATATAGGTTACATAAATTTTTTTTTTTTTTTTTTTTTTTTTTTAAATTTATGACTATGACGGCAAAAATGGTTACTTAATTTCACTGATTTAGTAAACTTTTATTTTATATATAAACCTAGTAATATAATGTCTCTCATGTAAGTACAAAGGACATGGGTCATTCAAAAGCTTACATCTTATGGCATTTCATATTAATTTTATTTTACTATAGGTGTTTTTTTGGGATTCTTTTTAGTGCGTGTAGTATTATTTAAAAGAAATTTAGGTTAGAAGTCATTCAATTTAGCTACAATTTTAATTACAATTTCAAAATTACAACTTTAAAATTTTAAAATATTTTCATTGTTTAGTTTTAATAGACTATATTATTTTTATAACAGAAGGAAAATTACTCATAGTAAGTAAAATTATTTTTCCATATCAAAGTATATATGTAAATTACAATTTTTTTTTTTTTTAAATTTATATATTATTTAAGTAATATTAATGGCACTTACTACAAAACTAGCTAAGTCATTTCTCAGATTTAGTAAACTTTATTTATTAATTAATTAATTTATGGTTACATATATTTGAAATAAATAAATAAATTAATTAATTAATAAAGTTTAATAAATCTGAGAAATGACTTATATTTATAGTATATTTTTATTTATATATATATATATATATATATATATATATATATATATATAATCAATGTATCTATTTTGAATATGATCACTCCTTTCCACCATCCTGTTTTTTTTAACTTGTCAAGTTCCAGAAGAAAATGTCTTTTCTTTTGTCAACTATGCTTAATTCCCTCTTTCCTTTCTTTCCCTCTCCCCTCCTCATGTCTCTCTTTTTTTTCCCCCACAAAAAACCTTACATTGAAATTTTTGTCTTTCTTCCATTTAATATTAAAACTTTTTTCTTCTTTCTTCCTTTTCCTTGTGCCTGAATAAATTGAACTTTTATTTATGAAAAACTGGTCTGAAGAGATGGACACGAGTTCCACGAAATAAATTTATAACCTGAACTGATAGATTTTTAAAGATTCTGTATTCATTATTTTATATATATATATATATATATATATATATAAACCACCTCAATTTAACAAAGTATGTTTAGAAATAACTATATAAAAAGGGAAAATATTAATTTTGTTTTTGAAATGAATGTATGAATACATGGATACTATACTTGTTAGTATGTACGTAGATGAACTTAGACATTTATATGTGAAATTATATTATGGATAAGGGTGCTTATATGGATATATGTACTTTTTTAATTGTGGGCACATGTGTATGGAGGTATGTGTGTGTATATGTATAGGTATATATATATTTCATATATGTGAGTATAAATATATAAGTATGGGGTATGTTTAGGTACTAACATTATTTTTGTGCTAGGTAATATTTATATATATATATATATATATGTGTGTGTGTGTGGATGTATGTGTAGATGTATGTGTATATGTATATTGTATGTATATGTACAGGTATATATATGTATACATGTATTTATATATGTGTAGTATTTTGAATATTACTTGTAATCTGTATATGTATATAGATGTATATACCTTAGAATTAATATTTGTAATATATGTGTGAATAGATGTATAATATTGTAATATAAATACATATGCATGTGTGGATAGTTATGGGTAGAATTCTTTTCATATGCTTTTTTATGTATATAATCGTGTGTGTATATGTAGGTATTTGTATCTATGTATGTATGTGTATATATATATATATATATGTATATATATATGGTTGTATATGTATATAAGGGTGTGTACATGTATATGAGTATACCTATATGTATATATAGATGGATAGATAGATAGATAAATAGATTGATAAATATATATATATATATATATATTCAGAGTAACATGTATCTATCCAGCTCTTATCTCAAATAACAACTTAAAGGAGACTGTTTGACCAACACAAGGAATGTTAAAAATTCATGTATGTATGTGTGTATACGTGTATGGAATATTTTTAAATGGAAGTACTTGGGTCATTTTAATGGTATTTTAAAATTACTCTTTTTAATATTTAATATCATTTTTCTTTTAATGTTCTATAATTGAATTTTGAGAGTGCATTTTTTATCTTCTGAAGGGAGTTTCATTTTAAAATTGATAATTTAAATTTAAATATACCACTCTTTAACTATTAATAGTAATAATAATATTAACAATTTTTTTTTTAATAATGAGGCACTTCAGAAAAAAAAAGTTAAAATTTTAACTATAAAATCAAACTAAAATCTAAATAAATTTCAAATATATGGGTGGATGGATGGATGGATGGATGGATTCATTCATTCATTCATTCATTTTACCCATATAATAAAGAAAAATTGCATTCATCATTTTTTTTTTTTTTTTTTTTTTTTTTGAAATCTATCTATTACAGCCTCTTTGGGTATATCTGTATTACTGTCATCTGTCTCCTCTCTCTTTTCCTTTTCTTTTCTCCCCACTCCCCTGCCATTCCTATATATCATTTCCCTAAAGTTAACCATCTAAATAGGTCAAGGTTCAGTCACTCCTCCTACCCCAATGTAAAGCATGCTTAAGAGAAATATGAAATTAACCCCTCCCTATACTCTACCTTGTCTCTTTAACTACAACTCTCGCCCCCCCCGCTGTTAAATTACAAAAATTACACTACCCATCAATTTCTAATCCCATTTTTCCTTTCATTTTGTTGTTGGAATTGTTACCTGATGATCCGGAGTCCTTTAAAAAGGATTTTGGTGAAATAAATTATTGTAATGGTATATAATATTTTTTTTATTTTTTATATATATATATATATATATATATATATATATATATATATATATATATATATATATATTATTATTATTTTTTTTTTTTTTTTATACAGGTATATGGCAACATCTGGCAATGACTGTGTTTTATTGAAGATTTGGGATCTAAGAACATATGGACTCCTTCAGTCATACAGAATCAGTGCTGGTGCCAGTTGCTTGTCCTTCAGCCAGAAAGGGAAGTTAGCTGCTGGCGTTGGAAATATTGTGCAAGTAAGAAGACTGAGGACCTTCTTTTTTTGTGACTTTTATCTCTTTACAAAACAATACAAAATATTTTTTAAATACATCAGATTTAATCATAAATTTTTGAATAATCATTTTATATGGTCTGATAAAATGTGAAAACGTCTATTGCTCCAAAAGTTATACCTCCTGTTTCATTGTTTTGGCTCACAACCTAAGAAGTGGATGTTGGTAGTATGTCAGTAGAAGTTGATATATGCTACCAATAACCTATAATTTCTTTTGTCTTGTTACAAGGTTTCAGAATAGTGTCTGACATGAAAGTGGATACAAAGCAGAAGTGCATCATTGAATTGTTCTATGTGGAAAAATGACACTGGCATTCATTGATACTTGTTGAATGTTTACAGAAACCAAACAGTGTATGTAAGCATAGTTAGACAATGAGTAATGCTTTTCAGCATTACTGATATGAAGAAGGATGTCACCTTTGCTGGTGCAGATTTTTATGCCTGCAGGTTCTGGCTTTTTGCTGCTGAAAAGGCACATAGACAATAGTGATGACTCTGCTCTTTCCAATATTATTGTGTGCTCCTTGTATCTGTTATAGTTTATATGAAAATGTTGGATGCATTACTTTTGGAGTGTCATTCCCTTCCCTCTTCATGTTCACCTCCATCTAATCCATGATTTATGGCAACAGTAACCGAACATTTCTTTGAACCAAATTTTCATGTGTGTATCAAAAGGTAAATTTCATTTCAATTCATACAGGTTTTTTTTTTTTTTTTTTTTTTGCTTGCACACTTTTACTTTTTTTTGCTTCGTAGGTTTATGATGATTGTTGTTCAAAGACCGTAACCAGTCCTTATTTGTTACATCGTTTGCCATCCAGAGCTCAGCATGTAAAATTTTGTCCTTATGAAGATGTCCTTGGGGTAGGACATGAAAAAGGATTTCAAAGTCTCCTTGTGCCTGGTAAGTATTTTTTTTTCTATGCAATTGTTGTCTGTTCTCTTGAATTGTTAATGGTTACCAAATTTCCTGTTTGTTTGGCAGTGAAAAGAAAAGTGGGACGACTTTTAAAAACTACCAGGTTTTCTATTATTGTCATCTGTTATCTACATGTGAGATATATTATGCTTTAAAAATATCACAGAATTTACACAACAATAATTCCATTTTTTATCTTTTTCATAAGTGATTATAATTTTTGTTTCTTTCTCTTTTAGGTGCTGGTGAGGCGAGCTTTGATGCATATGAAGTTAATCCATTCCAGTCAAAGTCTCAACGTCGTGAGACTGAAGTGAAGATGTTATTAGATAAGGTAATGGGTCGCCTCTATAAAATAAGTTTTGGACTGTTTCTAAAGTATCAACAATTTATGTACGTTATGGGCGCTCTATAATAATAATAAAACATATCTCTCTCTCTCTCTCTCACTCACACATGCACACACACTTTTCTTATATAATCACTTAGTGATTGTGTGTAAATATATGAGGAGGTACTGAAAAATTCAGGCCCTAACCTGCTTCCCAGAATCATATTTTTTTTGGTTTTTTTTTTTTTCACACCCTTTTAGCCAGGTCAAGAACTTTTCAAAAACCATTTTGTGTGCATACACACACACATATATATGATATATATATATATATATATATATATATATATATATATATATATATATAATTGATAATATATACACATACATATACAATCATATATCTAAAATATATAAATACACATACATATATATTTGTATAAAAAATAATTCCAAGAGGATAGAATCCAGGTAGAGCTCAATGTCCAGGACAGAGTAAGGATATAATAAAAAGGCTTAAACACTAATATTCCATGGTCATAATTTATTCCATTGGAATCGTAAATACGATCCAATTCATCAGATCTACAAATTCAAAAAGAAAACAGAAAAAACAACTCCGGGAATAAAAAATAAAATTTAGTGAGAGTGTATGTATGAGAGTGTGGGATGAATGTTAGAGTAAATGAAAGCTATAGGGAGGGGTAACAGACGAGAGAAGAACAGGAAGGTCTAAAGATGAAGGGGGGATTCAAATTTAACAGAGAGAAGTTTTAAAGAGGGTTGCACCAATAACATAGATTAAAAATATACAACTGGGAAATAACCAACGAATCATCAGTTGATGAATGAATGTTACCAGGATTGAACTCAGGAACTCAAATTAACAAAAGTATGTATAATACTCTTATAATAAGCTGGTCCAGCTACTAATTAAAATGAGCAATTCCAGGTTAAAAAAAAAAACAAGCTCCTGATATTCATTTGGGTTCAGAAAATTTGAGTACAATTTTTAGCCTAACAATCTATACCAACCAAACCTACCTATAACTGCAGAGCAAATCATGAATGTCCCTTAAACGGCAATTGCCTGCCAAGTAATATATACTAAGTTACCATAAAAACAAGGTAACGAAAAAAATATACATAGGGATAACAGTAACATTATCATCTTTGCACATACTGGTACTATCATTTTGAATTTATTACCAGATGAAGAATTGTCAGTTATAAACCATATCTTCTGGTCTATAGAATTCTTTTTCCATGGACAGTGTTTCATTAAGGTTGAAAACTTTGAACAAAGATGCCATAAAACTTTTGCTTCAAAACTAAAAAAATAAACTGATTTTGTCAGGGAATTGAATAACTTGCAGAGAAGTGGATGGAAATTAATCAAACATGATAGTAGGTTCTTAACATGTTTATTTTTATCAAAATAATATTACACATATTTATCTCAATGAGCTTCATGTATTGTAGATATTATATAGAAAAATGTTAATTTAAGTTGTTTTGGGTAAATTTTCAGTCTGTTAATGATTAATTTGTTGTTTTTTTGCTCAAATATATTGAGATTGAGATATTTGGGTTGTTGAGTCACTAATTTTCTCTTCTTTAATTTCAGATCCAACCAAGTATGATCCATCTTGATAGTAAGAAGATCTTGGAACCGGATTTGAAATCAACTGAGGAAATTATGGATGAAAAGAAAAAACAGATGGAGGTAAGTTTAAAATTATGTTTATTTTTATCTTTTGATTTTGAACCAATATTTTCAAAGAGTGAGTAAATTAGCAGTGTTTTTTTTTTTTTTTTTTTTTTGAATCATTTTTTTTATCACTTTCTGCTATTTTAACTGTCAAAAAGTATTTGACTGAGAAAGGTCTAATAAAATTCAACAATAAATGAAGACAAACTAAAAATGAATATGCTATGAAAGGTTTATTTTAATTTTTTTTTATATATAACCTTTTTATATCACATTTAAATAATAATCAACATATGTTAACTTTTGATAATTCTAACTATTCTCAATGTTTTTAGTGTTGTTAATCAGGATTTTTTCTATCTAGCATTTTTATACATAATAATTAACAATTTGTGGTGGTCTGTTTTGGGCTCTATTTCAAGGACCAACCTTTAAAATGATTGAATGAGTTTTTGTTTCATTTCCTTCCACTTCTCAAATTCTGTTAGCAGCTTCAGAAACCTTGATGCCCAATTTCAAATAATGCTTAAAAAGTTCCAGAATCTCTAACTGTATCTGTCACTACAATAAAGTGGAATCATACATTGTTTTTAGATATCTTCTTGAAATAAACTTCAGAGTATGTCTGTAAAAAAAAAAAAATGAAAATACTCCTGATATAACATTATAAAATACTTAATCTCAAAAGTATTAAAATTTAAAATTATTTGTAGGTAGGAAAACAATTATGGTGCAAAAATTTAGACATAAAGACTAACAAATGCAATATATATGTGCTTTGTTTAACCCAATGATTCCCAACATGGGGCGCATAGAAATATTTTAGTGTGCACCCTTCGGCTTACTATATCAACAGAATAAGGGGGCAATTTTAGAATGAGTGAATTGTTTTCTAGTGAGCTCAAATTTCATTTTGCATTATTATTTCATGATTAAAATGATCAAAGTATATTACAGAATAAGCTTTCATTCAAATATTTTATTTCTGTCTTTCAGTTCTCTTTTATATCTTTTGAAACTATATATTTAACTGTCTTGTTTTTTTTTAATTTTTCTCTTTCATGGACACCATGGTCTTTGGAGGTTTGTTTAGAGACCAAATTAATGGCCTTTTAACCTCACTTTACATGAATTGCAGTGAAATTTTGAATATGTAAGAATTAACTATTAGACACACACACACACACACCAGAATTTTAGAAATACCAAAGTGGGGCATGGCTCAAAATTAGTTGGGAACCACTGGCTTAGCTATGGTGTTTGTGGTTTAATCAGTTAAAGCATCATCTATGTAAGATGAGGTAACCAAGAAATGGAATACAAATTAGTTTCATCAAAAGTTACTTTTGAATTCTCCCTTCAAAAAAACTTTAATATTCCGAGGGTATTTGACCGTGACCATGATAGTTGTGCTAAAAACAAGATAAACCCAAAATTAAGATCACAAATAATTTTAGAATACAATTAAATGATCAGTAATTTGCTTAAACAAAAAAATTGATATTCATTTAATATGCTAATTGAAAAATCCACATTTTTCACACAGGAAATCCATTATTTTTTTTTTTTTTTTTTTTTTGTTAATGATGAGTTTCTAATGTAATCCTTACATGTAAAATCAACCAACCAACTGTAAAAATGTTATGTCTTCATTGCATTTAATGAAGCTAATGCAATCATGAAAAATAATGTCGCTTGAAGTTTACTGAATTCTGGATATAAGGATATAAGGCTCTTTCCCGATTAGCTCTGATGACAATCCTCGGTGTCAGTATGAGGAGAGTTAGTAAACAAGGGTCTCAATTTTGCTGCATCAATCAGGCAGATACCATATTTGGACATCATTGCCCGAATCGGGAAAATGGATGAGGTAAGATGGAAAGTGAGAGAGAGACTAGAGAAAGCAAAGCCACCCAAATCAAATGTCACAAACCCAGAGAAGCTGGCAATCGGAATCCTACAGAGGAATGAAAACAACATCATACTACTAGCTGACAAAGGCAATGCGATTGCAGTGATAAACAGATCAGATTATACAGGAAAACTGGAAGACCTCATTAGAAATGGTAGCAGTAAATTTACTTTTAAACAACCGCACTAAATATCTCTTAAAATTTTTCCAAATCATCATAATTTTGTGTAAACGTACATGCTGAACTCGAATTAACAATTAAATTATGAAAAAACCTACCATTTTGGAATTATCAACAAGAAAAAAATCAGACTTCTTGTTGGTCATTCGTCCGTCATTACTGCCATAATGTTCAGTAATTCAGTGTGGGGTACTTCCGTTGGCGTAAGCACAAATTTTGGCCTATTTACTTCTTTTACAGCTATATCTCTTTTTGAAATTACTACCCATTGTTTTTTTATTTTTAAGTGTAGTTTTATTTATAACAGAAAACCTTAAACAAAAACTAATTCAATACAATAAAATCTTTTTTCTGTGTAGAATAGCAAGAACAAATTAAATAATACAATAAAGCATTTTTTATATTTTAAAATTGAAAATGAAACAAACAATAATTAATGCGTAAACTTGGTAAAGTAGAAACAAAATTAGGGTTTATTGTATTATTTAATTTTTTTTTAATTTTTTTAAAAAATTTGTCCTCTTTTCTACACAGAGCCATATCCCTAACACCTAACCCTAAACTTAATCTGGTTTATTGTATTATTTAATTGTTTTTTTTTTGTTTTTTTTTTTTTTTTAAATTTGTCCCCATTTCTACACAGAAATAACCCCTAACCCCACCCCTAACACCTAACCCTAAACTTAACCCAATTTATTGTTATTTAATTTTTTTTTTAATTTGTCCCCTTTTCTACACAGAAAGAACCCTAATCCAACCCCTAACCCTAAACTTAACACTTTGTAAAGAGCATGATTATGTACCGAATAAAATTTCAAAAAATGCTTGAATGCGTAATGATTTTCTGCACCAAAAGTCTGTAAAAGAAGTAAATAGGCCAAAATTTATGCTTACACCAATGGAAGTACACCGCACTGAATTACTAAACATTATGGCAGTAATGATGGACGAATGACCAACAAGAAGTCTGTTTTTTTTTATTCTTGTCAATAACTCCAAAACAGTAGGTTTCTTCATAATTTAATTGTTAATTTGAGTTCAGCATATACATTTACATGGGATTATGAGGATTTGGTAAACTTTTAAGAGATATTTAGCACAGGCGTTAAAAAGCAAATTTACCATGGTAGCTACAGTAAAGAGAGATCCAACAATGGAAACGGAACAAAAACTGTTGCAGATCCTAATCAAGAACAAGGGCTACTTTGCACCTAAGGCATACAGGCAGTTGTCGCAGCATTACACCAAGCTACCTCGAAAATAAAGTCTCCTCAAAATTCACAATGACTGTATTCTGCTCAGGCCAATTGTTAGCTTCCAAGGCTCCCTGTGCCACCTTCTGAATCACTTCCTTATAGATATCATTGACTCATTAATAAGAAAGTCACCTCTATATGTTCAAAACTCCACCTACTTTGTGGAGATAATCAAAGATGCTCCCATCCAATCCAACCAGATGGTGAGTCTGGACATGGTAAATTTATTCACCAAGGTACACACAGAGGAGGCACTATCAGTAGTCAGGAACAGACTGGTCTTGGCCTCATCCCATATATCGACAGAATGAAGGCTTAGCAATGGGCTCACCATTATCACCAGCAATGGCAAACACATACATGGAATACTTCAAAGAAATGGCATTAGAATCCACATCACTAAAGCCAACCCTATGACTGAGATATGTAGGTAGGTGATACCTTCATACTTTGGACACACCAGGAAGAGGTCCAGCTCCTACTGGACCTCTTCCTGAACTCAATAACATCATTGATACAGTTCACAATGAATAGAGAAAATGACAACAAACTGGTATTCCTGGATGTACAAATATCTCAAACAGAGCAGGAGTTCTAGACATCCATATATCACAAGCCAACATTCACCAGACAATACCTCAACTTCAACTCCCACCACCCATACAAAGAAAGGGATCATCCACTGCTTACAACAGTGAGTAAAAGTCATAAGTGGTGATCCAGAGACATGAACAAGGAATGGTCAATAGAAGCATTACCCTTCAATGTAATAATTACCCTGGGTACATGGCAGCAATTTCGGCAAACTGGGATAGAAGGATACAAGAGGATAATAACACTCAGAAAACAACTTTGATCTGCCTACTCTGTGAAGGGATTATCAGAAAAAATACAAATGATGTGTAATCCATATAACATCAGGATGATCTTCAAAGGTGGTTCAACAGTTAGCAGACACTTCTTCTGAGTAAACCCCCACCCATAGAGGAGAACATGACTAAGGACTGTGTGTATGCCATCCCATGCAGCTGTGGTAAGAAATATAAACAGGCCGTCCCCTTAAGGTAAGACTGCAAGAACATTGTAAAGCTGTAAAAGAAGAGGAAATAGAAAAATCAGGCATAGTTGACCACATATAGAGGGAAAGGGGAGATCACCGCCCCCTGTAGGATGACGTTGAAATAATAGACATCACTGGAAAATATGAAAACTTAAGGAATCAGCACATATGCTAGGCCACAAAAATCTCCTAAGCTGACCAAGCATAGAAATGAATACAATATGGGAAGCAGTAATATGGAGTGCTAGAGAAAAGCAATGAATGAGTTTTGGTTAAATATGGTTAGTGAGACATTAAGTTTATAAGTCCTAAAAATTCAAAGACACATGGCCCAGTGGATAAGTGTTGGTTGGATTCACTGACTTGACACAGAGTTGTGAGTTCAATACCTGGCTATATCAGTGGTGAACAAAAACTTGGAGAGTTGAGTTAAAGGGAGATAACCGAGACAAAGGAAGTGGCATGGCACATGGAACTAGAACAATCTACCCCAGTGGACAAAAAAAAAAAAAATGAAGGTTTCCATTCAAAATTCTAATCACCTGAATAAGGCTGAAGTGTACAATGGCTGACTGAAACCTTATGAATATGGCAATGCTATTTGGA